TTTTTTATTTTATTAAGATACTCTTATCAATTTCACTCCATCCGATATATCGAAAATAAATTTAACACCTTTTCTTCTTTTTCTTTCGAGATATACTTAGCTTGTAAGTTAAGAAAAATAAAACTGATAATTCTACGTCGAATGTACGGTGAAATTCTTGAAAATTTATCAACGTTCTCCATATTGTCACTTACATGTATATGTTTCGATCGCCATAAAAACATTAATGATCGATTTTACTACGGTATTTGGAATATACAAGGGGCGGGGCTTACTGGCGGCAAGATTAAAGCGGGGTCCGCTTCACGCATGAGTGCGTAAAGCGAACCCGGAAAGCGAACGCCGGGTTCGCTCTAGCGGACCCAGATCTGACCCCGAGCGAACGCAGAGCGAACCCGAAGCGCACCCAGAGCGGTCCCAAATTTTCTGAAAGCGGACCCGCAGCGGACCCCGAGCGAACCCAGGAAGCGAACCCGGTGTTAGGTTGTGTCCGGTCGGTACTGTATCAGATGTCAGGAATGCAACAAAATCAGGTAAGATATTATCACTTCAAAATCTAGTACTTTTTGTAAGAAAATTGTAAATAAATTTTTTTGGTTTAGATTTTAAAAACTAACTCCAATAGACAAAAAAGTAATTTTTGGGAATTTTTTTTTTTTTTTTTTTTTTTTTTTTTTTAATACTTCTTTGATATTAAAACCCTCCAAACCAGAATTGAAAAAAAGAATTATGAATAAATAACAAAAAAAAGCCAATTTCTTCATATTTCTTTAGACGTCACCATATACAGGTGAAGGGCTTCTAATTTAGACCTTTAGTCGGCACCCAGGGCCATTGAGCAGTGAGGGATCTTTTTTATCGTGCCAACGACTGCCCTAACTCGAGACCTCAGTTTTTATTGTCCATCCAAAAGGACCCACAACGTTCACTTCAAAGTGCCGAGCGGTTGGTGAAGAAACAGTTGCTACCTATTTTTTATCGACAGTCGCAGCCGGGGTTCAAACCCAGGAACTTCCGAACACGATGCGAACGCTCTACCGACTGACCTTCCGTGGCGGTCATTTATACAAGAGAAGAAACTCAATCAAGGTTTACATCTAATGATATATATTCCTGCCGCCATTTTGAAGAATAAAAAAACTATAATTTCTTTTGATTATATATTTTTGAAAGTCTTTAGGATGTAGTAATATTTTCTTTTTTCAATTAAAGTTTTACTAAAAAACTTCTGAAACTTTTTTATGCAATTGTCTATTCTATTGCCATTTCAGGAATTTTAACTAGAATGCATGTACATTATGATGATATAAGTGAATTGAGTGAATAATATGTTATGATTAGTTGATTTTTTTTCAAAAAAATTCAAAGTGGGCGGTCATTATTTTTGAATTCACCCATTTACAATTTGTGTACATAAACGTATGCAGATATATGCGAGGTAACTCTACCAAAATTGTACTTTTTTCAAAAAGAAAACCAATGAAGCTTCAAATATCTGAAGTCAGTAATGGTACAGACGCTGAATCTTTTCTTTGAGGAAAAGTTGTCAAGAATGTCTATATGAAGATCGCGCTGAAGTTGATAAAGCTGCCACCAGGATTGAAATAGTGGCTGAGGCCAAATCTGTAATAGCTGTGGAGGAATGAGCGTTGCCTGCTGTTCTAAGAATATTGTCGCCTTCCTTACTTTCTGAAATTGCAAACGTGACAACCTGTCAGCTACCACGCTGTTTTTGAATGGAATATGTTTAGCGTAAAGAAGATGATATTTGATAGACACACCAATACCAAGCGACGAAGTAGATGCATCAATTTTTTTCCTTACAAGACACTGCCTATTTATCACTTCGACCGCTGCCATTTCGTCTGACATAAAGTTTCTTTTTCTATTAGCCACTTCTAACCCCCAAATTTCTAGGGCTTATACAATGGAATACAATTTTCACTGCACTTTGCATGGGAAAAAGAGACTCTGCTCTGTTCATCCAGCTGCAAACCACTTAGATCCAAACACAGCAGTAAACCTTAACAAATCAGGAGCATCCTTAAATAATTGGATGATATCTGAGATTTCAATTCCTCTGCATAGAATATTGATTTCCATTAATATTTTCTAAGAAATGCAGCCACATTGCCAAATCTGTCCTATCGTTTTTCTTATAACGAATAAGGTAATTAGGTTTCATATTCCCTATTGTCAAACCAATCAAACGGGGTAAAAAATCCTTACTAGGAATCACTACTAAAAACGCAAAAATTAACACCCAAATTGATGATTAGGGTTCTCGTAATGTAATTTTCTTTATGTTTCTGAACTGAAGCAGTTTGTAAGTTTGTCTAGTGTAGAAGGGGACTCTCCATATCAATTGAATCTACATTATTACCAAAAATAATAATGCATGTCACTGGCCAGGTTTGACCCGTATTCATTGGAATGTTTATTCTTCCATATCAAGCCAAAAGTTCTCCATATCATATTTGCATTTCTCTGAACTGGGAGGCCCAATGAAAAAAATTATCCAAAATATGAGACAAGCCTGCAGCCTTCAGTTTGTTCAACATTATGCACTGAAGAGCTGTATATAAATGCTCATATTTTTGACAAGAGCTGCTTGACCCAATAGCCAAACATCGTAAAAGTGACCTTGCTATGTAAATCCAAAAGGTGATTATCATATGGATTCACAGGTATAATTCGAAAAGCATCCTTAGTATTAGTTTTAGCACTGAGATCCTTTCCCAAACTGCCGTACAAGTGATACAATAGTGTCAACCGAATCATAATAAACTTCCGAACATTCTTTAGGAATATTTTAATTAACTGAATCCTGGGCTTAAAAAAGATCATGAATGATCCGAAATTTATTTGTTTCAGATATAGGAACAACGCTTAGTGGAGAAGATTTGAAATGGGGCGGATACGGAAATGGGCCTGAAATTCTTTGCCTATTTAAACCTGCATTAATATAGTCTTTAACAATTTCTGGGTGTTCAGAGGTTGATTCGTGAGTGTGAGCAGGGTAAATGGAAGGGTTTTTACACACCCTAAACGAAAATCAAATGTGATGCTTGAAACTAAAAAGTACAATTTTTCTTATTCAAAGCCTTGTAACTCATTTATGAGTTTTACTGGCCATTGTTTTTTACTAGAGTTGGAAGGGCCACTGTCATTTCTGATTCAAAAGGTGGAGTTGGACCGTATTCCTGTGCGTTGTAATCGGGGATGGGGACCATTACAGTCTTGGCAGATATGCAAAAATGTGTGGGAGTTACACTTTTGCCCTTGTTACAAAGCGTTATCTGAGCTGAAAGGGCTGTCGTTTCCCAGTACTCCCTTGAATTTTTTAAGAGACCAATTTCCCATAGATGCTGTCTTTATCCTTATTTTTTTTTTTTTTTTTATTGCTCTTTCCAATGGTAAGAGGGATATCTCCCTTATTTAGTATTTTCTCAGCCTAGGAACAATGGCCACGTAAATCTCAGTTATTCGCAGCACAGACAGCACAGTAACAGTATTTATCAGTATTTATCAGACTCAAAAGTAAAGACAACAGTAATTATCAGTTTTTATAATTAACAGAGACAACTAAAATTATCAGCAACAACAGTAATAAGAACAGTACCGGGTAAATATCAATATTTATCATCAAAAACAGCACAGTATCAGTAATTATCAAACATCGGTAAAATTTGGGATTCTCAGCACATTTTTCGTCCAGTAGTGAATGAAGTGCTAAACAATCTTATTAACATAGATTAAAATCATACTCAAAGATATAATGTAACAATTAATATCAAAATGAAAACAACTTAAAGCGAGAAAAAGAACTATATCAAGGAAAGCGTGCAAGGTCTGGAATGCTGAATGACCTTCCACATTTTTATAACCATAATAAAATTATTCTATGATTTTCTTTTACATGATCATAGCATTTTTTTTTCCTTTCCTTGCGATACATATCACAAAAAAGTCTGTCTCTCTTGATCGTATCCATTTCATTTTCGACATCATAGCAAATAAATTTTAAATGATTTGAAAGATTTTACCATTTAACAGTGTACATTTATTGACTGGGTTCGAGGACAACCTGCGTTTGTCGGACCAATGAACCAAACTGTTTGCCTGAGGCCATTAGACTGAAGGCAAACAGTTTGGTACGAGGGTTCGACAAAATGCATTTTGCCTGATAACAGAGTCAATATTCCTTTTGTTATACATTTTATTCTTTTGACATATATCTATAGAAAGTACCCCAGAAAAGTGATCGATATTAAATTTAAAGGTCCTAATACGGACGTCATATATATTATAATATATACCTTAAGCATGAAAGCCTTAACATATTGTTTGTATTTAATTAATGAGTGTTTCCTCGCATGCTTAATGGGCGCTTATAAAAATCAAAGCATTTTCAGTCCTCTTTATATGTTTGGCGCCACAAGTTTAGATATTGAAATGACTAATGATTGTTATAAATATGATTGGAAATAGTACCGAAAGTGTTAAAAGAGAGTAAAAGAGTTATTTTCCTATTGTGTTCAACTAATAATTATTTTGTCTATTTCTATATAAGTTTACAATTACTTAGACAGAAATATATTATATTCTCTCTATCACGTACAAAGCGCGCCGAACAAATTAAAATATACACATTTTCTATACCTTTTTTTTATTTTGAAATAATGATTTCCCATATTTATGCGCAACATTAATGTAATTAACAATTTCGTGCATTATTAGCAATTATTAGAAAAGGAATAGTTAAAATAACATGAGCTAAAAAAGAAATATTACAATAATAATGTTAATTTGAACAATTTGTTGATTTTACAAGTCAACATTGTATGTACAAGAAATCAAGAGATTTCAAAGTGTGTATCACAAATTAAATGTGTCGGCGACATATTTGATTGATGTATTTCCTTCCTTCTTTGAGGAGTTGCTTATTTGTATATATACGTAATTCACTCAGGGAAATGTCAGTGTATTTAAGCATCAACATGATTCTCTTCCAAGGGTAAGCTTTCAAATATTTTAAACGTTTCAGTCAGTTTCTTTTCCTTTAGAATTTTTAAAACATATTTTGCAGTTTATTTAGATCATTTGTTTAGTTTTCCCTAAATGCTAAGAAATAGTAAATTAAAGTCTAAAATAAAAACATTTTGACTAATAACAAACAGATCTGTTTCTAGCATTTAAATTGGATTTATATGAACAAATGGCTTTAGAATTTATTGGGTGATGGTCTTCAGCTTTATTAGAAAGAAAAATGAATATGTTTTAAAATTTCAACTGATCTTAATTGCCTTTTCAGTTTTCTGATAGTAATTATAAATCCTACTTTTGGAATATTACACAAAACGCTATCAGTACCTTTATCATTTACTCCACTCCGAAGAATCACGGTAAAACCAGACAATGGAGATGTGTACATAGGTGGCAAGAACATAATTCTGCATCTGGACAAAAATTTTGATGTAAAAAGCAACAAAACAATAGGTCCCCGACAAGACAGCAAGCAGTGTGATCCTGAAAATGCTTGTAACTCTTTGCAGTTAACAGATAATTATGTAGAAGTTCTAGAATTCATTCCAAAGCAAAGAATGGTACTCATGTGTGGATCAGTTGAGCAAGGTCGTTGCAAATTCCTGAAGAGTCACTCAATATCATATGACGAAGAAAATTTTCTAAGAAATACACAAAACTACGTTGGAAGTAGAAATGGAACGATATTTGTACCATACACTGATGACAAGAAAGATTACAACTATTTTATAGGCCGAAGTTGGGATGGACGACCGATGAAGTATACTTTTCCAGAGTTTTCTTTCATGGGAATCCATAATAGATCTGCTGACTTAATCAATAGATGGGAATTTCAGAATACAACACTGTTTGCGTCAATTGGAATATGTGAAAAAAAACGAGAAGATACTTCAACTCAGTTTATTTACGGTTTTCAAAAAAACCATTTTGTCTTTAGCATATATACCCAGGCAAGAAACGTATCTTCCAGAATGATATACCAAACTAAAATGTCAAGGATATGCACGAGCGACAAATATATGAGATCTTTTAATGAAATTATTCTGGAATGCAAAGACCATAATATTGCAACTGCTGCTTATTATAGTGAAGAAGCGGAGGAAACTGCGCTATATGTGGCATTTGGTATCAGCTTAGATTCTGTTCAGCCTTCCAAAAATGCTTCAGCGTCTGTTTGCAAATTCACCCAGGGAGAAATAGACAACATGTTTAATAATTTGATTACACATTGTTATAATAACAGAGATGCTCTAAGCCCACCTGATTGGTCGACGTGTGGGGAAACACAAAAATGTAACACTAGTGCAACAGTAAGCAAACTTATCGAAAGAAGTATTCATTATAACATATGTTAAACATTTATATTTATAACATATGTTTAACATGTGTGTTTGTTTGTAACTGTTAAAACATACATGTTTATTTATTTATTTAAAGAGTCTTTTAGGTCTCTGGAAGATTTTTCATTATAGTTAATTATATATAATATTAGAACGTGAATATCTTAGAGTAAGTACTGTAAAAAAAATACTTATAAAATATCAATTCAAACCTATTACAAAAGTAATATCGATTTAAACGTAAAATTAGTAAGAAATGCATAACTTTCTTAAACTTTCTATGTGTTGTTTACAATTTTGAATTGTATAGGGACTACAAAATTTGCAATTATTCGAGTTCATGGCAATGTTTCTATCACAATAGCTTTAACAGTTGTACCTTAGATAAATTATAATATCGAAAGTATATTTTCTTTAGCTTGTATACAGTGTCATTAAATTCTAGATGCCCGTTGATAGCTACTGCAGCTCGGAGAGACATATAAGGGAAGCACGTAAAACCAACCCTGGAATACAGAGGTTATCAGAACCCTACTTCAATCCACAGGCTTTAATTTACAAAGAAAGGAGGACAATTTTCACGTCAGTGTTTTCACATAGAATCAATTCAAAGACGAATATTTTGTGGATTGGAACAATTGATGGTTACATTCTTAAAGTAAATAAAAATTATTCTTAATTATATGTTATTTATTTTAATTTGCAATATACATAGCAATTACGTATAACAGTAAAACAAGAAAAAAAATGACAATGCTATATATTATTTGTTGTTAACAAATATATCATTAATTCAAGTATAATTTTCAAATTACTCTCAATGCCAAATGAAAAGATTGTTCACATTTCTAGGTAAATATTGCGGGGCGGCATAGAGAAAGAAAACCGTATTTAAAATTTGATCTGAGTCAGAACAGAAGACAGAGGATTGAGCCTCATCATGTGGTGGATCCAGTAGGCACGGCCCATGTCATATTTTTACATGGAAACAAGGTCAGACAATAACTTTTTCGCAAAATTTAAATACTTATAAGTGCTCTGATTAGATAAGAAATTCAAACACAGAAAGAGAATACGTTGGTTTAAACTTATTTTATTACTGTAAACGTATTACCTTTGTCTGTGTATTTGGCGGAAAGCAACTTCCGCTAATTTAAGTACATCGCAAAATGTCTTGCACATATACACATAAATAAGAACACTAAGAAATGCGCTAAATCAAATCTAAGCTAACTTATTAAAATAATCAAATAACTTACACGCTAAATACAATATATTTACAGTATGCTTACATATATTTGTCAGTCAATAGTGAAACATTGAAACCTAGGAAACAGCACATAAAAATTTAGTTCTCATAGGAAAAAGAAATGAACGTAAGAATTCAGAGGAAGAAGAAGAAAAATACTTATGCCTCTTTCATTGTACTCAGTATTTTATTGTTTTCTGTAATTTAAAATAAAGCGACATAAATCGAGGGGATAGAGATCTTCAAGTAGAGAGTTTTTAAAATTCTTGATCTTGTCTAGCATAAGCATGTGTATACAGCAAGATTTAATACTTAAGATAATTAAAATGCATTAGTACTTTTTATAGATAGTAATCATTACATGATAACAAATTTTCTTTCTTCAGGCTTCAAGATTTCCTTTGTATTCTTGTCATGTCCACACTACTTGCCGTACATGTCTAACAAGTGGTGACCCACTCGGGTGTGGGTGGTGTAAAGATTCGTGTGTGATGAGGAGCGAGTGTAATAGCACGTGGTACAACGACACATGTCCGCCATTTATCAGCAGGGTACACATCTCTTTAAATTATATATATATATATATATATATATATATATATATATATATATATATATATATATATATATATATATATATATATATATATATATAATCTTGAATTGTACAAGCAATAATTGGATAAGGGTGAGAGAGAAAAAAAACTTGATAGGGTTGCGGCTTCCTGAGTCCTCTATCCAGTTCTTATACCCTCCCCCAAATACCACTGATATTTCTACAAGTTATCATGTATTTTATTTTTCCTAGCTACAAGGTAGTTTTACACTTGACCTCTAAATTTACTTATTTTCATCAAATTTAGGCACATTTTTGCAATTGAAACTGACTCCATGGCGTAAAAGATAACATATCTGACGTCACAGAGTTTTTAGAGACGTCAAATTACACACGGCTAAATTCCGGCATTGACCATATATAGTTTTGGTTTTTAGGTTACCTTTATTCAATAAATACTAGCGGTGATTGAAGGATTAAAAAAAAAAATTAAATTCCATGGTTGGATGCCTGAAGTACTTCATTAATGTCTGAATATCTCAATAAAAATATCTTTAATACTTGTCAAAATATCTTAATATGTTACACATTCTGTGAAAGGCATATTTTACGTATTGCAATGAGTAGTAATTTCATCATTGCATACTACAGGTGTATCCTTTAAGTGGTCCATTACAAGGCGGAACGATAGTAACAATTGAAGGGGAGAACTTTGCAGACGACCAATTCACAAATGTGACTATTGGACAGGCTGTATGCAACATCGTCAACTCGACAAATGTCAAGTATAAAAAATGATATATTTTTCGTTTCTTTGGCACATTTTAAGTGGTACAAGGAAGAACGCCTTAAATAACACAACAATGTAGAAACAAAACAATCATGTTGAGAGCTTTACTGGAAAATCATATTAGGCAGATGCAATGTTTTATTATATTTCTTTGAAATCTGTTTTAAACCGCATGAAATTGTAAAAATAGATCAGCCTTTTTTTAACTTTCTAAAATTGAAGGGAATATACATATTCCTGAAAGACAGTCCGAACAAACTAAGAAACTACGTATGTAAGATTTATTTATTAAAGTCATTTCAGTGAGAAATCTTATTTTTAACCTTTACAGTTCAGTTATTTTTACAGACTTTGTTACTTTCATAATCAAGATTAATGAAAATTCAACTACATAAATTACATGAATTATCCATATAATGATAAAAAGGGATAAATTTCTAAATCTATTTTTAAGAGGGGAATATATAGAGGATATAGGCAAGATGACATTGACATACTCTTCTTTAAAATGATTTTTTTGTTCTGGAAATGAATTGTAATCAAGAAAATGAAGAAAAAATCTTAATTTGTAGAATTATATGTAACACAAGTTCAGCAACAGAAGCCAGTGAGTACTTGGTAAAAGTGACGACAAACAGAATGGGTGTCGTGAAACCGTCCGAGATTCAAGTTTTCAATTTTTCTTATAAGGTATGAATATTACATAATTAAGAAAAATCTTACTTTTTAAAATCTTTTAAGAAAACTTCTGGTTTGTAATCAATTGCAATTAGTATATATTTTGGGGTCAATTTTGCATATATCTAGTTATGAGTTTCCTTTTCGCAATTATGCTAAAACATTTAGGTACCGGACGATGTTTCAGATCAGTATATGTTGTATATTTTCGAGTAAGTTATGATAGAAAGCAAACAACAGTTATGTACAAAACTCGCCGCTCTTTAAAATTAAATACTTCTTCGAGTTAAAAATTATCACCTAATTTTTTGATTTCCTAAGTTGAAGCTGGTGATACCATTTTCCTTCCATGCAGAAAAATTGCTTTTTTCCGAATTCCTGCAAATATCAAACCTTAAACAATTCAACACAATTAGTGGTGACTCATTAATTTTCATATGAGACTCATATTTTTGCAATCTTAAAAAATTGTTTTCAGATCTACATCATTTTTGCAAACGTTAAAGTATACGTGACTCAAATGGCCAAATATTAATATTTTATGGATTTTATTTCGAATACAAGGGTGCATATCCTGGTTTCTACACCAAGACTTAATTACGCTCTTGATATTTTTCCAGAAAATTTCCTCAAAAGGCGGAAAAATACTTAACATATCCTTGTGAATTACACACGGCGGTTTGTTATATAAATGTGTGTATATGTTTAAGAGAAATTATATTACTCCCCTCGTCTAAACAATAACAAAAGTTGTCTCTCGGAACAATGGAAAGTTTCAAATAAAGAAAGACCAAATTACATCTTAAGATCAAAACAACAAAGCGGAAATACAGACACAAATTTCGAAATATATAGGAAATGAGGTACTCAGAGTTATTTTGAATATTAAGGAAACAATAATGAGGGTACCCTTTACCTCATGTTTGAAAACCTGCAGTTATCTGATTAAAATGATTACAAAAAGGTCATTGATTTTGCAAAGAAATGTGTATTTACCTATTTTATTTATTTAAAGCTGATCATTATAATTAATCTTAACATAAATGGACAGTTATTAGATTTCAAATATATTTTTTCAGGAATCCTGAATGCAATTTCGTATTGAAAATTGACCAACAAGAATATTTAGATTAAAAATCTATAGGTACATATATTCAGGCACTTGGGGAAAAAATGCATATTTTTTTTACACTAATGCGTTAATTTAGTTCCTCTATTGACTTCATTTTGTATGAAATACACAGTATTTAAGCATGTGATATTGTTTCAAAATCACATACAGTTTCATCACAGGCTAATCTCAAACAAAAATGTACTATTGTAAACTATAGTTTACTATAGTTAATTATAGCTAATACTTTGATATTTTGATTTTCTTTGAAACTTTACTTTTGAACTTTCTTTTTGAGATTTATAGCCTAAATTCTTTAAATTTAATATCAGTGATGTAAAATATGGAAATAATATATGCATATAAAAGTAATATTTCCATTTAATACTCTATTAAAAAATACTTTAATTTACTGTAGTAAAAACTTTGATTTACTATTTTGAAAACTTCGATACTATAGTCAACTATAGTATACTATAGTATTCTTGTTAGGGCCAAGCATTGCTAGTTGAGGTACGACAATATGTGCAGTAAGGGTATGTACCGTCACAGGGGCGGATATGACATGAGCAATGTATCTTACCTACTGATAAATTTTCAAGATATTCCTAATTTAAAATTATAATAACATTAGATGTTCGCAGACAAAAAATCAGCATTCATTACCGGGGGTTTTGAAAAGATGTCAAATGATGAAAATTCTTGTATAATTCAAAGAAAAATATACAAAAATTATTAAACGTATATTCTAGATGGTTTTTTTTTTCATCCAAATTTGTTTTAAAAGAGGTGTACAGCACCATATATAGACATTAAAAGAGTACCACACAGGTCTTCAAGTATTGGAACTCTTCAACTCCAGGGAAAAAGACAATAATGTTCAAACTACGTTGCGTATGTCCTTAAGTCGACCATTTTACTTTAAACAGTTCAGATGTAAATATTATTGAACAATCTGCAAATCTAGCTGAAAATAAAGAGTTTGAAAAGTTATACAATTAAGTGTCAGTGTACATGCATATGAAATTAACATAGAATACAGCCATGTGAAAGAGGTGAAGGTAACGAACAGTGATCTAAAAGAAATCTACAAACAATACAAATCTTTGAACAGTGCATTAAACACGGGCCTCCGGAAATTTCAGAGCTTGAATCAGGTGCTTGGGAGAAGTAAGCATCCACCGTCAACCGGTCACACCCGCTGTGAACCCTATGTATTGATTAGACAGAAATAAAGTATTAAAAACAAAGGCCAACAATTGGTATGAAGCATGTAAGCCAGAATACGACCAAATGATAGGTCTTATTTGCTAACAAGGTCGTTATAACAACCATAAAATTTACGAGATTCCTATTTTAAACGAGGTTGAAATTCCTGTAACCTCTACTACTCTGTCATTAATCTGCCTCGGTACAAAAATTACTCGTACTAAAAGCATGCTCTTGAGTATCGAATAAGTTGGGAAACGTTAACATCATATGCAAGGGATAGTGAAATATAACTACATAAATAAGGAAAGTTAACGATGAAAAAGCTGAAGTCATCTCGTTTGTCAAACAATTTGTTGTTAATTGGTTTTTATCGTCCATAGTCAATAGAACATCCAAATATGAAGCAGATGTGGCAAACATGAATGTGGAGTTGAAGGCCATATTCAGAAAAAATATATTTATTTTTCATATCATTGTTGAAATACTTTAAAAGTTTATCCTAAGACCTAGGGAAGTGAATTTGAATTTTTTGAATTTGTGACTCTTTTGATCAAGTTATTCATATCGTATTGTTGTACTGACTCATTTTGCATAACAATATTTTTAAAGTTATTTATAACCCTGCTTTTATTTTTAGAAGAAAAGAGGTACTTTTCAAAACTGTAGAAATTCTAGTTTAAATATTTTTAATCGAAATTAATATTATTTACTCTAATTCTTAGAGCATGCTAAATCAAATGTTTCAGTTGTCTTAATAATATTCATTAAGCCCAGCTACATTGATGACTTAGTGGAGACTTGTACATCACATCAATTTTATGATTATATGTATGTAGAATGGAGGTAAAAAAAATATAGGAGTGTTCGAATTTAAAATTAATGCCTACGTGTGTGTGTTTATCATGTCCATTGCCAACAAGAGCCCCTTATGTTGTTCAACTTGATTCTTATCACAATGCATTATTGAAAATGATTACAGTGCAGTCACTTTTTGAGAACTGTATATCAAATTTCCTTTATTTAAGGAAATTTAAGAAAGAAACTCTTTTCAATAGATAAGATTGGCAATATTCCATTTACTACATATAAAAATCATGTCACTAGGTCAAGTAAGCATGCAACAGGATTGCCTTTTGTTAATCACATACATGTATATTGAAAATGCATCATATCCTTAAAACGTTCTACTTAGCAATTTACTTAAAACATTTGGCAGACAAACTAGCATCATGATGAAAATAAGTGATAAACTTTCTACCGAACGTGTGAAGATTGTTTCTTCTGGGTCTAGGGTAGAGCGCTCGCTCCAAGATCGGGAGGTGGTGAGTTCGAATCTCGGTCGCGACTGACCTAAGTCGATAAAAAATGGGTAGCAACTGTTCCTTCGCCATGCGCTCGGCACTTTGAAGTGAAAGTTGCGGGTCCTTCGGATGAGACCTTAAAAACCGAGGCCCCGTGTCACGGCAGGCGTTGGCACGATAAAGATCCCTCACTGCTCAATGGCCATGAGTGCCGAGTAAAGGTCAAAACTGGAGGCCCTTCACCGGTATATGGTGACGTCTCTATATAAGTGAAAAATTCTCGAATGGGACTTAAAACAACATACAATCAATCAATCAATTTGGGTCTAGGTTTTAAGCCTTAGGCTTTGTAAAAGCAAAGTTAAATATATCGAAATGTGTTTTATGTTGAGATATCATGTAGCATAGTATTGGCAAATTATATATAAAATGCTATTTGGGACATCGATTCTCTATATAAGACAAAATGAAGAAGAAAACCTGAAAAAGATAGAAGCTAAGTTAATCAAATAAAAAAAATACAATTTATTTCTAACAACCTACTACCATACTGAGAAACACAGATAAACTGTCCACGTTATTATCAAAGAAATGACCCTACTAGATCTAAAAATATATTTCTCCTTGGTTAAGAGGTTATTTCGCATGATATACCTTTATTTATAGAATCATTGCATCTTTAAGATTCTGAAAGTCGCATCTTTGACATACATTACAAACAAAAGAAAGGTTATATATATATATATATATATATATATATATATATATATATATATATATATATATATATATATATATATATATATATATATATAAAGAACAAAGTGAATTTTTTTGTGGAAAAAGGGATAATCTGAGTTCAACCGCCGAAATATACCTTATTTATTGCTGACTCAGTCAATCAATCAATCAAAGTCATGCAACAGAATTTATTTATCATACATTATATTTGTTTTATTTCTTCTGACCATGTTTTTTTTTTTTTTTTTTTTTTTTTTTTTTTGTTAAACGATAAGCTTGTAAAAAAAGATCATCATTACTATCAAAGCATTCTGATAAATTATAAAACTTTTAAAACAGATACCATTTCTATCCGCAAGTCATCCTGGATCAGGGCCTCGTCATGGAAATACACTGATAACTTTTAATGGTGACAATTTAGACATCGGACTGAAAACTATGATAATGATTTCTAATTTACAGTGTCAGATCGTAAGGTAAGGATTAGAATCCTTTATGAAGTGATAAACTTTTTTATGTATGCTATATATATTATGTATTATGCATATTTAATATAATGTAACATATAATTTATCTCAGACAGAAATAGGATATAAACTTGTTTCTATCAGTTTATCTTTCTGTCCACGCTTCCTTCTTAGTCATGTAAGCTTTTCTGTGTGATTCATGTGGATTTATATTAAGAACACTTTTGTATACATGTATACAGTTGTATGGTGATGGTCTAATTTTTTTTTATTTATATTTTTTTTCATTTTTGCTCCGCGTTTCGATTCATTCGGTACATTTTTTTTTTTACGAAGTATGATCTTCAAATTAAAAAAAAGATAATTGAAATGTGTGTCTATCTTTTCAAAAGATAGCATGTAGGCATAGATCTCAATATCGAGATGGATAAGTTAGAGTATCTAAAATAAAGATTCAAGAATTCTGCTGACCCTTGTTTAACAAAACAGATGTCCTTGAATTATTGATACAATTACGCATTTCATAAAACTGTTTTCACTTCTCCACATCCTAAACCCATTATAAAGATGTTTAATTAATTATATGACTGTTTCCAGAAAGAGTTCCATTTTACTTATAATTCAATGAATCAAATAGGAATCATCACTCTTGAATGTTGAAATACTTCAAACTTTATCCTGGCTGCTAACAGAGCATTATTTTCGACCTGACGCAATGCATTTCTCTTATTTTTTAAACAATTGCTCATTTATCAATGTTCAAAGAAAACAGAAATTTCAGTAGAAACACAATTCGTACAATATATACTTTGGTAAAATAGAACTGTAATTAATGTATGATATGATTTAATCCACAGTGAAACCAAAACACAAGTGCAGTGCAGAACAAGTGAATGTATAGACATTCGAAATAGCCAGATCGAAGAGCCAATGACTTGTAACGAATGCTACCCAGTCAAATTTGTAATTGACAGTACCATTTTAACAGATGAAAATGACACGTTTTGCTATAGCGAAAATCCAGAAATTACTGCAATATCAAGGAATAAAACAATTGTAAGGTATGTTTGTTTGGTTGTTTAACAAAAAAAAAGAATTTCTCTTCACCTTCTCCGTTTATTTCATAACTTCAATAGAATACATTTTTAGCAAAATCTTGTTAGGGCAAACTTGATGAGACCGAGGAGGGAAACTTCAAGAAAAAGTTATCTGTACTCAGATATATACGTAGTTTGATATGAAAGATAAGATATCGAAGTTCGAAATACCGAGGCTCACATATGGCTTTTGTTTAAATGAAAATGAACTTTATTCATTTAATTGTCTTCAGCACATTGTTTTATTATTTCTAGTGGAGGTCTCTCATTGATCATCGATGGAGTAAATCTTAATCATGCAAATTCATACAAGTTTTACATGAATTTCACAAATGGGAAACCGATAGAAAATGTAAGTATAATATTGATTAAATCCTTACTACAATCTCCAAATTTAAAATAAAATGATATTATCTCATAGTAAAATATAAATTATTCAATATGCCATATGTAAAGCTTTGTCACAAATAAAAGCACGTAGTAAATGTTTATAACTTTACATCACATGATAAAAAATAAAATCATTCACAAAAAATCGATGTGTTCAACCATTTTTTGCTTTTTGGCAGGATTGCCATTTGTATGGTGGAAAAGTCCTTTGTAAAACACCCGATCTGTCCTCAATGTCTACAGAAATAACAAGTAAAGGTTTAAGGGCAAAAATGGGTGTTTTACTGGAAGACGATGGCCATCACTGGCATATTTGGACCAGTAAAAATCCTTACTTAAGCTATATGACTGTTTATCCAGATCCTTTGTTTGAAAATTTTAACAGTACAGGGAAACGTGAGATTCATATAGACGAGAAACTTTTCAAGTTGAATGTGAGTAATATCTTTCAGTAATTTTTAATAATCAATATCATTTGTAAAAAGATGTATGAAGATCATTAGAATCCCTAACAAAAAATACTATAGTTAACTATAGTTTACTTAAGTATCAAAGTCTTTATACTATAGTGAATTAATGTTTTTACTATAGTCAAAGAATTTTTACTATTGATTTCAGATTGCTATATTTTATCAGGATTCTCCGCGGCCGTGTTTTACTGTGGCGACCCCGACACAGTAAAATTTCCCCCCGCCACAGTAACGATTCAAACTGTATGAGTGCAACACAGTAAATATTTTGCGCCACAGAAAGATTTTCGACAATCAGATAATCAGGAACATAAATTCCCTCTAATCGAATCTTTAATTAATATATCGCTTTATGATTCTCAATGCAGAACACTTAATTTACTCTTAATTAGGGCCCATTGTCTGGCTTCACCTTGCATTGTCAATTATATCGTAGACCATCGTTGGACACTATGCATGAATGAACAAAGACACACCATTTGTTTTCACGCTCCAATGTTACTGTAAAAATGCTTGTTGAATTTTTATCACCGATAAATTATTAGGCCTTACTTTAGAACGTCTCTAAAACCGTGTTGGAACTGCATGCGAGTCAAACATCGTAAATATCTTAATCATTTATTATGTAATGTTGAAAAGTTAAAGGCATCCCCCTAAAAATATTTCGTAAATCAAGAAGTTCTTTTTAAAATTAAAAACGCTCAAATGACTTGAATCATAACAGATTTATTTGTAAAGATAGTAAATAGTTCGATTGTATGTTAAACCAGAATTCCCTCTACTCTGCAATGTACGTGTAAAATATAAAGTTATACATGTATTTAAAAATATCAGAGTTTAACAATAACATCTTGTAGATACTGATACAAATATATTTTTTATGTTTGTTTATTTCTTTTTAAGTTATGTGTATGTTGGGAGGGGTTACAGATCAGAGCGCTTGCGTTATAGTATGTTCATCACTCTAAATAGTGGAAACATGCACTCTAATTGTTTAAAATATCTATTAATTCATTTTTTTAAATATATATATATATATATATATATATATATATATATATATATATATATATATATATATATATATATATATATATATATATATATATATATATATATATATATATATATATATATACAATCATAGCATTTCTGTATCAAACTAGTTATACAAAAAATTGTGCAAATTTGATTTCTGCGAATATTTGTGCATCTTGGAAAGTTTGCGACATAGTAAAACTTATCAAATGAACCCTGTTTTTTGTTCTCCAACTCATACATGCACATTTTAGTATTAAATGGAAATGTTACCTGTACATTCACTTATTATTTCCAAAAGTTTAAGAGATTTTGACTATCAAAATCTCTCTAAAAAGGCTCTGAAGTAATGTTTCATAGTAAATCAAAGTATCAAAGTATTTACTATAGTAAGCTATAGTAAACTATAGTTAACTCAAGGAAATATTTGTATGGGAAGAAGTAAAATAAGTATTACGTGTTTAAAAAAATTTTTTTTGGAAAAGTGTCGTATATCTAGCCTTGAATATTTCTAATTTCTTCCCTCTTGGAAGATATAATTGTCTGTCTGGGAAAAATGAATTTGTTTTAAATCATAAATATTATTATTATATTCCCTTTATAACCTTTACAAACACGAACGGTTCATAACATTACATATTAACCAAATTTGAGGCTGTATTCAACGGAGGGTCAGTGCCGTGCAGCGGCAATTGTGACGTCAGAAACGACACCTCAAATAATGTTGTAAACTATGGTTACAAATGTCGATGCCAGCTGTGTAATCGAGCAGGAAGACGATAGGCATACCTATCACTTGATTTTCATCCAAACATTTCAAGGGAACCATGGAAGATATAACTTGTAAACTTGACATATTTTAATCTCTCTGCGACAGAAGCTCGTTAATGAAAATGGTGTCATCATGCAAGATTCAATGTCTCCTTTATTCGAATTCGGACTATATAATAAAACAATTATGGACTCTTTAAGTGGTGAATATGATTTGATATTCACCAAAAAAAATCAATGTAGACCTCGGACAGTATCTATTTTTTATGGTGAATAACAAACCATATTCACCACCAAAATAGTCCATAAAAGTATGATTTCATCTGAAGCAGAAAATTCATTTTGAAGAGTGTAGAAACGTTTGCTTTACAAAGCTGGTGAAATGTGTGACTTGTTACGATTCTTGAAATTTTATGTGCATGAGAAATATGAAATGCATTTTGAAATATTTTTGGTATAAAGGAATAACACATCCAGAAATGATGTTTTCATCCAGATTCCATGAAAAACTTTTCTACAATATATTTGATATTGACAGGGGAAAAATTTGAATGTGGCGTTAAAACCCGAAGACTACAATATAGAGGTGCAGAATGTTTTGTGTCCAGTGAAAGAACTAACATCAACGTATTTGAAATGTGATTTAACAGAGGCAATCAAAAAGCATGACTTACTGAAAAACAAATTATTACTGACAACAATAAGGGCAAGTATTGAACAATTCTGCATTAACTACATGTAAATTTGCCAAGCAGATCAAAGATCATGATATATGTAATTAGTCATTGTAGTAATGATAAAATGTATGTCAGTTACCATTTTTTTTTTCAGATTAATGTTGGTAACATAAAAGTTACACTCGGTGATGCTGCATTTGAGCACCATGTTCAACCCATAACGCGTCCCCATCTCTTCTTTATGGCGGGACTGATTGGCATCTGTGTCATTTTAGCCTTTACTATTGGAGTTTGCATGAAATGTAATCATGTGGGTCCTTTTCAAAGAAAGCGTGTCTCATATGATGCAACTGTAAATTTCCGTTCTGAAAGTGCAAACCAACCAATTACAGAGGCGTTTTTACCGCCAGAAACTGACCCCGACAGTACAACTACTGCCAAACCTAATGGTAATTATACATATAATTTGCATCAATTTTCATTGTTAGTGCAAGTTCTTTTTAAATATAGTCTGAGAAAAGAAAAGACTTTTACTAAACAAATACATTACTTGCGTGAAATATAAAGCCCACAAATTCCCCCTGAAGAATTTTTCTTCTTAGATTATGTAGATGGGAAGCATATTACGGAGATTGGGGCCGTAGGAGGATATGATACGGACCTGATAGAAGACATGGTCTCTGTCATGAAAAGACAGAATCTTTTGATTGATGGAGACTGTTTAAGGCTTGGGACTCACTTAGGAAGAGGTTCGTTGCATAATTTTACATATACTTACTGTATATATGCTTAGAATTTGAAGACAGATAATATTATTTTAGTTACTTTGTTGAGGTAAACAGAGTTATTTTTTTTTAAATCAGTTCATATCAAATTTTGCAAATGCAAAATATAAGAGTGCATTGACTTGTAGGTGACTTTCCCCCTTATAAATCATATGAAATTCTGTTCATTTCGTAGGAAATTTTGGTTGTGTATACAAAGGATTTTTGAAAAGACCTGACGAAAAGTTTGAAATGGTTGTGGCAGTGAAGACTATAATCCGTATGTTCCTTCTTTGTTGTTTTCGATATGGTATCATTGAATCTGACATTCTCTTTGAATTTACTGGAGAATATATATCACTAGACCTTCCTCCCTCTTCCCAAAAATTGTCGTGCTTTAAATTGCCAAGAATCTTGTTTGCTATTTGAGCGTTTTGTATCGTACTTTTAAATATAAGGGTATTTTTCAAAATTCTATCAAAACAGACAAAGTTAAGATCTTTCAAATGTTCAATATAAAGTTAACATTTTCTATATCATATATATGTTTCATAAATAAATATTCCAGTAATGTATTTGGTATATTAAGTTTACAAAATGTGTTTTTGTTCCATTGCTCACCATTTCCTTCAAAGAAAAGCACGATCGATCAATTTATCTTATTTTCCAGGCTCGGGGGCCATTGATGTGAATGCTTTCTTGAATGAAGCTCTGATTATGAAAGATTTTGATCATCCCAATGTGTTAACTTTGATTGGAATCACAATGGACAAAGGGGAATTCCCTATGGTTATACTACCATTCATGCATAATGGAGCTCTGTTAACATATATCAGGGATGAAGAGAATGTATGTTTTTCAATTTTATTATGTTGAATTAATTTCAAATAATGTTCTTCACTGAAGTTTTTCTGTATTTCAAAGGAAAAAGCTCTGACCCTATACTTCAGCTTGAAACACATACTTTTTTCCCTTCTACAAATGTGTTTCATTTGGCTTTATGCTTTGCATTTTTTTTTCTCTAGAAGAAACACAAATTCATATTTTCACATTCGTCTGACTCATTGATGTAATATACTACAATATCATTATCAAATTTCAGTTGCAAGTATTCCTTTCATAACAATTTTAACTATGAATGAATTTTAGACCAATTCTATATTATATACAAAGAAAAAAGAATGTATTTCGATGTGTTTCTTTGTATTATTATTTTTCCTTTGGTCATTGTGCGTTTCTTCCTTTTAGAATGCATTATTTTTGTGAAAATGAGGCAAATTGTAAATACTTTTTGTTTTTATCAGTTTCCATTGTTTCAAAAAAATGTGATAATAGATTTTATAATACGTGTACTTGTTATTTTTAACATTCGTTTAAAGTTTAAAAAAAAACGAAGTCTAAAAATTCCCGGTAACATTTCTTGAATTTTGGAACTACTTTTTAGATTTCTTAAATTGAAAACAAATCAATCATTTGCAAGTCTTTTTTTTTTACTTTTCAAAACATAAATGAATTTCAAAAAACAAAGTATTATTAAACAAAAAGGTACCATACTTTACGTAAGATGCCTTTTCTCATTAGAGATTAAAAAACTGGGACTTCGAAAATTTATACTGCTGCAAGACATTCTCTTAACAAATTCTTGGTTTGAAAACATCAAACTCCATTTAGGAATTTGTCAATAAAAATAAATATTTACAATTCATCATAAATTATCATTAAATTTTCCCATTCATTTTGGCACATCTATGATTCCAGATAAGATGTGGTTGACTTTTTAAAAGTTAAAGGACAGATTCTTGAAGGTGGTTTTAAAGTCATATTTTATCATTGTTTTCTTAATTTATGGGGATAGGAGGTCGTGTTTTCCCCTCCTCAAGCTCTCTCTGTGGTTTAAGACTCATTCACTGTTTTGTCTCCTTAAAAAGAAACGACCTAAGAGAGATAACCGTTAAATTGATTGAAGGTATAACATATTTGCTTCAATTCATTTTTACTTTATCTTAAACTGACAAAACGACATCACCACAACCCCCTTCCTAAAGTTGAAATTATTTAGTTGCCAGTCTAGAATGTTGATATCACCTAAGAAATGGATTTACACAAACCGAATGTTACCTATATGTACTATCGATGATCGATTTTAGATGCCGACGGTGAAGATGCTGGTCATGTATGGTTTAGACATTGCTCAGGGAATGGAGTATCTTGCAAATAGGAAATTTGTTCACAGAGATTTGGCGGCAAGAAATTGCATGTATGATGCTTTTGCTCTTTTTTCCAACTTATTATTTTGAATTGCATTTTACAGTTTTAAACATCTTGAAGATGAGATGTAGAAATGTTATAAATTTGGCAAATTGCTTGACGCTTCTTTAAAGTTTTAAGATATTTGTATCCCAGCATGAAACACTTACACTGTAAATAATTTTGTATTTAAAGGATTGACAAAGATTTTGCAGTAAAAGTGGCAGATTTTGGTCTCTCTCGCGACATATATTCCAAGGAATACTACAGTTGTGAAAACAGACAAAAGTTACCAGTCAAGTGGATGGCACCAGAAAGTTTAGAACAGGGGCGATACTCCTCAAAATCCGACGTGGTAAGTAAATGTTTACTGAAAGAAACGTACGCTCTTTATGAGAAATACTATAACCAGAATAAAATTAATAATAAATAAGACAAATCAAAATATGCAAGAAGACTCATTTAGATAATAAATTGAATTTTGTAATTTTGGGAGGGGCGGGGGGGGGGCGAATAGAAACCATAGAAAAACAGATAACAACAATTCACTCCACACATCCTGCGGTCCAAAGAGGGAAAATTCTCGAAATCATTGGCAGTCATGAAAGCCATTTTTTTATTTCGACAAACTTTTTATGTTTTATTAAGACATTTATACAATTAAAGACTATTAAAAAAATTCAAATTGGTGGAGATAAAAATTTAATTAAAAAGACATTATATGATCACCCAGCGCTTTCGCCATGAATTCAATGACGTCGGACAACGTCATTATTTTTGAATGGTTGCTCCCTCTGTCTCAATACACTTATCAACGAGATTCCCTGTAGTTAAGTATTGGTAAAAACATAAACCCGTCTTATTCATATCATACGACTTTTCAATGTCAAGAACAGCAAATTTCAATGCATTAATATTGTAAATAAAAATTTACATAAGAAAAGATCCTCACTTGATTATGCCATAATTTGCTTATTGGAGTTCAATGTCTACCACACATAATTAACGTCACTTTTCGACGTGACTGACTTTGGACACCCTGACTACAAATCGTCATTAACTGTGCGTCTCTTCTTTAGCTGAAACTGTTTTGGAATTAAGTAACAAGTACTCTGGATGCATCTAATTTCTCTGTAGCCCGTTTAAACATTTTCTAAGTCTACGCCCGTTTTTTAGGGACTAAAGTTTTAGAGAATGTTGGAAAATGACACCCTCTCCCCGTTTTGACGTCATTTTTAAACCTTTAATTGTTTGGACATTCCATATAAAGATTATGATGAAATTTTATAGAACTTACAGAATAAGGTAAAAATCGCAACTTTTACGAATCAATTATGTCATTTCACATGAGTGAATTTATGGGACTTTCGAATGACAAATGTTCATATCAAAGAGTTTTCCTCAGTTACAATCAATTAGAAAATACGTCATGTTGGAGGTTGCGCCACCTGGACATACCATTGCTTACAAAAACACTAACAATTCATTAAAAAAATTAAACTTATGATTTATAGTTTATTTTGTAGATAGAAAAAATTATGCTTATTAAATGTTCAACTATTCATTGATGTACCTCAAGCGGTTTTAATTTTATTGTGCTAGTCCACAAACTTTTTGATAACCCATCGTATAAGATTCAAATATTAAAAAAGGTTTTTTTTCCGTTTTTCAACACTTAAAATTTAACACGGTAATACTACAGGTTGAATCAAAAGAAAAATACTACCAGAAATAGAAAGCATAGATTGTTAAATTAAGTTTGAGTAGTGTTCTCTCTTTTGTTTCATAGTGGTCCTTTGGTGTTGTATTGTGGGAACTCATGACTAGAGGAGCCCAGCCTTATCCAGAGGTCGACAACTGGGATATGTCCATCTACCTCAAAAGTGGACGACGGCTGCTAAGGCCAGAATATTGTCCCATGATGTTGTAAGATCATTTCTCAACTGAATGAAAAAAGTTTTCTCTGTTCCATATATGCTTATGATTATTTAAAAACAATGATATCTTTTAAAGTTTTACTGCTGCACAATAAGAATTGACATTCTATCTCTTTAATTGAAGATACCGGGTCATGCTGAAGTGTTGGTTAGAAAATCCCGCCAACAGGCCATCTTTTCAGGATCTTGCAGATGATATCATGCGTCTGATAGAAGCCAAAGATAAATCGTACTCACTGGTGGACACAAAAGTCGATTTGGAAAGATGTAATAATTACCATTATATGGATCATCAGAGTTTAGCCCGCCAACGCAGCCTAAGTGCTAAACGCTCAGTTTCATCAGATGATGCACCGCTTTTGTAGTAGCTAGTGACATGAAAAGATCCAAAGAAAGAAATTCTATTGGCGACTTGAATGACCTCCAATTCAGGAAAGTGTTTTGTCGGTCAAAACGAATGTTTTATACACATGGATGTATTTTTCTACTTAGTGTATTACTTTCACTGATTTCTGAACAAATGGAGTGTTTGGAAGCATTCAGTCAAAATAATTTCTATTCTGTTTGTTTTGTGAGAGAAGAAGCGTGGGGTATTTGGTAAAAACCAAATTCCAGAGAACAAAATAAGAAATCTGTTCCAAGATGCAATTTACAATGTACTGGATTGTTTATACATATTGTACATAAGTGAAACGTTTTGAAAATAAAAATTACCAAAATCTATTCTGCTTTTATTTAGAAACTCGGGATCTAAAATTAAACTCTTCAAAAACATTAAGACGGTCACGGTAGCCTAGTGGAAGGGCGTTAGTTCCTGATCAGAATGCCGCGTCAAACTTAAGACGTTATATCTACATAGGTTGAGACTGTTCCTTCGCTAAGAGCCGGGCACTAGAAGTGAAAGTCGCGGGTCTTTTGGATCAGACCATAAAAACGGAGGTCTCGTGTCACGGTAGGCGTTGGCAAGATAAAGAACCCTCACTGCTCAATGGCTCTGAGTTCCGAGAATAGGTCTTCATAAGCACTTCGCCGGCTTGTGACTTCTCTATATGAGCGAAAAATTCTCAACAACATAAAACCAATCAACAACTTTCATCCGCATTCACGATAAGAAATATGATAAGTAGAAAGAATGCCATCAAAAAATCAGAATGATATAATTTTAGACCATGTTATTATATATGCTGTTAAAAAAAGATTATTCTTGTAAATGCGCCGAGGTAACATTCAACCCAACGAAAAAATGGATGGGAAATATAAAAATCATTGTGTTTAAGGCTAGTTGATACAACATAACACTGTATTAACAATACAACTTTTTAGCGCACCTGAGCCGAAGGCTCAAGTGAGCTTTTCTGATCGAAATTTGTCCGTTGTCTGTCGGCGTTGTCGTTGGCGTTGTCGTAAACTTTTCACATTTTTATCTTCTTCTCCAAAACTACTGGGCCAATTTCAATCAAACTTGGCACAAAGTATTCTTGGGTAAAGGGGATTCAAGTTTGTGCAAATGAAGGGCCACGCCTCCTCCAAGGGGAGATAATTAAGAAATAGCAAAAAATTAATGGCATTATTGAAAAATCTTCTCCTCAAGAACCAATGGGCCAGAAAAGATGAAACTCATGTGGAATTATTGTCAGGTAGTGTAGATTCAAGTTTGTTCAAATCATGACCCCTGGGGGTAGGGTGGGGCCACAATGGACGATCAAAGTTTCACATAGGAATATATAGGAAAAATCTTCAAAAATCTTCTTCTCAAGAACAGCAAAGCTATGATTGGTCATATTTATGTGGAAGCATCCTCAGGTGGTGTAGATTCAAGTTTGTTCAAATCATGACCCCCTGGGGTAGGTTGGGGCCACAATGAATGATCAAAGTTTTACATAGGAATATAGAGGGAAAATCTTTAAAAATCTTCTCAAGAAAAGCAAAGTCTCTGTTATATTTATATGGAAGCATCCTCAATTAGTGTAGATTCAAGTTTGTTCAAATCATGACCTCCAGGGGTAGGGTGGGGCCACAACGAAAGTTCAATTTGTAGAGAAAAATGTTACAGTCAAAAAATTATGTAAGCATCCTTAGTAAGTGTAGATTTAATTTTGTTCAAATCATACCCCCATTCCCCTTTAGGGGTAGGTTGGGGCCACTTATGCATTTAAGCTTTTCAACACTAAACTGATTTTTTCTTTTTTTTTTCCTAGCCACAGTGCTCAGGTGAGCGATGTGGCCCCTGGGCCTCTTGTTATTCTTTATAATCACTTTTGAAAATCACATTTTCCTGCCCTGTTAAACTCAAAATGACTGAAGTGCCTCGGATGCGCTCATATATATACACTAGCGGCACCCGGACTAATCCTCGGCTTCAATCATACCCCCTTTGATAAAATCCTCTATAACTTGAACACCCGTCACATTATCCACGCCTTGCTGCACATAGTGTCTGCGCACGACAAAATGAATAATACATAACGTTTCCCCCTTTTTTTAAATGGATGATTAAATAAATATGATAAATATATAAGATGAGTGTATACTTATCACCTTCCTGGTGATTAAAATCTTGCATACATGTACCTACATCACTATATGCATTAATTAACAAAGATTTAGTCTCACACTTATTTACACCAATCTGTTTCATAAAACATCTGTCCAGATGAAGTTGAATTTAATGCTGAATTTCTTTGACCTCAGAAGGGTTTTATTCTGATGTACAGTGATCGCCAGCATTAATGTAAGCGTCTTTCGGAAGGGTTGTAACTTTTTTCTTGCATAAGAACATTGCGTTTTATAAATGAAGCAATGACAGGTCATCTTGAATGTCTCTTCACAATTTTGCATGCGCAACATCGACAGTTGGGCATTTTACTGATTAGTTATTGTCGTCCTGGTGTTTGGGGCTTCAATGCGGATCTACGATCCGCCAAGCGATACAGCAGACAATCTAGTTTTAGAGAGACGATTTAAAAAATGCAGGAAATGTGACCTTCCTGTAGAGACACTCAATGCGACATAACAGAAAGTTAGATGAAAAGGAAAAAATATTAAGAATGGGAGAATGGACAATTATAACCCCAGCGCTGTAATCCCACTGCTGTCTGACTGTTAGGCAAGTAATATACAATGGATGAAATTTTTAAACCTCTCTTGCAAAGTAACTTCCGGTTTGTAAACTTTTGGTATTTTATGTTGATTTGCTACAAGCCGGACAAAGTCAATGTCAAAGTCAAAATGTTTGTTCATGTAATTTGTGTTACAAGGAAGTGATGAATAATTTGTGTTTCAGGGAAGTATGTGTACTGTTAGAATTCAATAACTAAACTTTAAAGTAAGGATTAATTCATTAAATGTATGATGTATTTTAATGCTAAAACATCTCTCAATTTATAGAACTTGTAAACAAACTATGGACCCCCGCTTCAGTGCTCAGGATGTTATCAGATGTGACCTTTGTGAGACAGCTGTAGTACAGATGCACTGTGATTTCTGTCATGTCAACCTTTGTAAACCCTGTATTGGAGATCACATTTCTGATGAATATGATGAACATAAAATTGTCCCATTCCAAAAAAGGAAATCAACTTTAATATATCCAAAATGCACAACGCACCAAACCAAATTTTGTGATTTACAATGCAAGGAATGTAATATTCCTATATGCTCTTTATGCTCCACATCACAACAGCATAAAGGACACAGTTTCTTAGTTCTCTCAGAACTTTACAACTCAAAGAAGAAATTTATCACAAAAGATACAGAGGAATTAAAAAACATTATCTCTCCAGCTTATGAAAAAATTGCAGATGACATAGGAAAGCAGATAGGTAACTTGGATGGAGAATATGGGAAACTGAAATCAGCAGTGACAGAACATGGAAAACAATGGCACAGAGAAGTTGACAATGTCATTAATGCCATGAATAAAGAAATTGATGATTTTAAAATAAAACACTCTGAGATTCTGTATAAACATGCAGAGGAAGTCAAGCAAATGCAGTCCCTTATTGAACAAACTCTTCTCAAGCTGAAAAAAATTAAAGAATCAAAAGAAGTGTCCGTAATGGTGGAATACAGCTCAAGGAACAAAGAATTCAGCAAATTTTTACCCAAAGTTCAAGTTTCACTGCCCGTGTTTAATCCAAAACAAGTAGATAGAGAGCATGTTTACAAGTTGATTGGATCTCTTGCACCTTTATCTACCACAAAAGAAGAAAATGGCTACACACTGAAGATCCCAGAGACACCTTCCAGAGAAGTGCTGGAAGTTCCAGAACTTATCACTTCTATAAATACTGGGTATAAAAACCTCCGCAGTGTTGTGTGTCTGAATGAAGAAGAAATCTGGACAAGTGCACAAGTCAGTGATATTAAATGCTTCAACATTCGAGGCTCACTTATCAAGACAATAACAAAGAGATCAGGGGGATGGCCAAGTGATATAGCAATTACACGTGATGGGGAACTTGTATACTCAGAGGGGAAGAAAGGAACTGTTAATAAAGTGAAGAATAGACAGACAGAGGAGGTTATAAAATTACAGGGCTGGACACCTCTCAATCTCAATGTCACCTCCTCTGGTGATCTCTTAGTTACCATGTGCAGTGAAGATGGAACACAATCCAAATTCGTGCGCTACTCAGGCTCTACAGAGAAACAAACAATTCAGTTTGATGATGAGGGTAACCCTCTATATTCAGGAAATGACAGAATTAAGTACATTACTGAGAACAGAAACCTGGATATCTGCGTGGCCGACTGTGGAGCTGGTGCTGTAGTAGTCGTTAGCCAGACTGGAAAACTCCGATTTAGATACTCTGGTCATCATTCTGCTACAAACATTAAACCATTTAAGCCTCGTGGCATTACAACAGACAGTCAGAGTCAGATCCTGACAGCAGACACTGATAACCACTGTATCCACATTCTAGACCAAGAGGGACTTTTTCTCTGTTATATAGATACATGTGAATTGAAGGAGCCATACGGTTTATATGTGAATAAAGATAATTTGTTTGTCGCTGAATGGGGAGGAATTGTTAAGAAAATTAAATATTTTAAATAGAGATATATGATTTTATGTATTGTATATAGAAACATTTATTTAAAAATCTCCTGAGCTATAAATGTTTGATGTACATTCTTTTGTTTATTGATAAAGTTGTCATGAACATTTAACTCTGAATCTTTTTTTCAAATAAAATGTAACTCTATCCGGGGCTTTCGCTTAGTGACCAGAAGGCCCGGGTCCGATTTTCGTTCACCGCGCAGCACAAAACGTAAGACATAAACATTCGTCATGACTGTTCCTTCGGCCAGCGCCCAGCACTAGAAGTAAAAATCAAGGATAATTTGGATGAGGCCTTACAAACCGAGGTCCCTTGTCACGGTAGGCGCTGGCACGATAAGGAACCCTCACTGCTCAATGGTCCTGAGTGCTATGTATAGGCCTAAATGATCGAACAATTCTTTATTGGTACCTACAATTACATACAATCAATCATTCTATTGATTTTCCATTCTGTTATCATTTGAGGATTATGAGTCGTTACTCTTATCTGATTGGGGCTCTTTTGTTAATAAATTTGATTTTTTTTTTTAAATTTTGTGAGTAATGAATTCGTTAAATATGTTTTCTTTTCTTTCGATTGAACCTGCCATAAACTTTTTTTTTATTTATTTTTTTTTTTTATTTATTTATTTTTTTTTTTTTTTGTCATTCATATTTTTATTTCCATTGTAACATGTATTTTTATACAAACATTACAGAAAATACAATAACATGGTATAAATACAAATATCCTACATGATAGCTAAAGAAAGAGATCCATTTGAACAATTTTGAAAAATAGACAACATATTTTTATGTAACATTAAACCTTCACTGACTGAGAAATGTTTTCAAAAAACCCCAACTTTGCTTTATCATGTCTGCTTTTTTATGAGAGAAAGGAGGAAAAGAGCTCTATAGTTTTATAGTATCTAAGTACTTCCAAGTACGCATTAAAAGACGGTGTTATATCTTTCCATTTACAATTCATTATATATTGCTTAGCAACAAAATAATTATGTTCAAAGTTCTAAAAGCAGTTTCACTAGAACCGTTATATCCAAATATTTCTTCAGCAGTAAATTTATTATTAAACCACATGTATTTCGAAGTTTATCTCTTAAATTAGACCATAAAGTAACGGAATAAGGACACAAGCACATTAGATGAATAATTGTTTCTTTAGTATCATGGCAAAAAGAACAAAGTTCTGTTTCAGCTAATCTGCATTTCATAAGTTTGCTATTTGTAAAACAAAAAATATTTGATGTAAAGGCTTAAACTGAAAGCGTCGAAGCTTTGTGTCCTCTGTTATTAAATAGGGTAAAGGAAAAGAGTCTTTCCATTTATTTTCATGGATCTGTATTGAAAGTTTTTCCTCCAGTTTTCTGACAGCTATTGAAGGGGACCCTGCTTTCTTTTCAACAAAGTTTTTATGAAAGTGTTTTGTAAAATTCATTTTTTTTTTTTGAAGTGTCAAAATATTTATTGCCATGAAAAGTTGGCTCAAACGATTGTGTATGTATTGTTTAACATAGAAACTAATTTTTTAAGTCTCCTGAGCTTTAAATTTTTGATGTACATTTCTGTGTTTATTAAAGGAGTTGCCATGGATATTAAACTCTGAATGAGATTTTTTGGTTACTTTTTTAAAATGTTTCTCTCACTCCCGTTATCATTCGAGATCCATGAACACTCTTATCTAATTGGGTCTATTTTGTTAATAAATTTAATTTTTTTTTTTCATTTTTGTAAGTACATGTAGTAAACTCGTTAAATATGTTTTCTTTTCTTTCACGTGAACCTATCATTAAGAATTTGCACAAAATAGACAACATGAATATCAAGAAAAAATATACTCAGAGCAATTCTGTATTTAGGTGAAACAGTGATAGAGAAATTTGATGCCTTTTTTGTGGCCCAAAGAACCATTATTTGAACAAACTTGAAACTTCGCTGTATGATGATCATGCAAAAATTACTAAATTTAAGCCTTTCGTTCTTAAGAAGGTAGACCTCCCCCAGCTTATGCTTATGTCAAATGTTGGCTCAGGGGGAGTAGAGTAGTTAAAAAACCCTAAAACTTTCACAATATGGGAATTTTGTATTTTAATAAAGCTAACTGTAGACTTTCTATATTCTTGAGAAATGCATTTTCCTTACATATAATTATATCATGTCAAAATTTGTCACCCTATTGTGGACCCGTTCTCCAGGCCTTGGGGGAGGGTGCACAATTTGAACAAACATTAATTTTCACTTATTTCTTGAGAAGAGGATTTCTGACGTCACTCGAGACACTTAGGTGGCCTATTATCTGTTTTTAATTCGTCGTCCTTCGTGGTGCATTAACATTTGAACACTTTCAGCTTCCTCTCTGGAACTGATGCACCAGTTTCAGCAAATTTTAGTATAAAGCATCTATGAAAATTATGGTCTTCAATTTCATAATTAAAATTGATAATGAATTTTCAATTATGTCACCCTATTGCACCAATGCATATGACTGAGTGCATATGTCACCAGTATGCACTCAGTCAAACAAAGTGCATACTTTTTCTAACCTGGAACTTATAATACTTTTCCTTATGTTTTTCACCGATATATTTTTATGTAACCCTCATATGATTCATGAAATATGCGTTTGTGTATTTAAAAAATGTATTAAGTTAAAACTTATACCTTCATGAATTTTCAAAACCAATATTTACCGGTATTTCTTAAATATAAATTAAGTTTTTTTTTGCATTTCTTCGTAAAGCATATAACGTCTCTATATCAGTGAAAAATTCTCGACGTCCCATAAAACAACAGACGACCAATCAATCAATCGTTAAGCCTATAAAAATGCATTTTATTTGGTGTGTGAAGTCATTTTATTAAAAAAAATTAAAGAAGACAAAACTCCAATAGCAATTGTTCAATGTATGCACTATTGCGAATTATAAATTTCGAAATGGTTTGATTTCATTTGCCAAATTCCATTATTGGATGATTACATACCATAATCCACAGTCATCTTATCTCATTTGAACTTCTGACATTGTCAGATAAGATTTCGTCCTTGCTCTACAATATCTGATATTCTCTGTGTGGTAAGTTTATATTATCTACAACTAATTTGTAATAAAGGTTTCAACCGAGTCTTATTTATTTCTTAATTGGTTTTATCTTCAGCAGAGAAATTAAAAAAAACTTAAATATACTTTTCTGTAAATGATTCAGAGTTAGATATCCAGATCAATCCTTTGCTAATTGCTCCATTTCAATTTGGAAAAGAAAATTACAATTTCGTGTTTTTTTTTTAATTTATTTATTAATTCTAATCGAAGTAGATAAAAACTGACATGCCTCTTGATAATGAAATTTTTTGTAGCAAATAATTAAGTACACATAATATTAAGAGTTTTGTTTGAAAGATGTGAAAGTACCCGATGTTCATTTTATAATGTAAGAAAATAAGCACTGTAATTTACATTTACTGTCAAACAAATTATGTAGGAGTTATTTTCCTTGGATTAGTTCTTTCTACATGTATCTTTTATCTCTAAGGTTTCTGGGTAACCTGTTTAAATTTGATTGTATTGAATATTTATCTTGAAAATATTATATTTAATTAATTTCAACATTTCAGTTTTACGTGGAATATTTCAGCGAATGACAGAGGGTTGAAATGTTTATAAAGTATTTGATGAGATAATATGTTTTGCATTTTATTGCCAATTTTTATTTGATTTATCACGAAAATAATATTTTGTTCTTTTGTCCTTTATTTTTTATTTTAAAGAGAGAACATATTATATTTACAATTGTGACTTTTTTATTTACATGCATTTTTATGAGAAAATAATTAACCCTCAAAGATGTCTAAAAAAAAAAAAAAAAAAAAAAAAAAATAACCCCCGTTAATGCACCGAATTTTGTATGAATTTTGGCCGCGAAGTCCTCCAGAAAAGATCTGTCCCTAAATAAAATTACGATATTTTGTGGTATGTGATCGTAATATATTTCAATATAGGATGTTTTAGAAGCATTCCTGCCTCGGAGTTAAAAATCGCAAAAAAAAAAATCAATGATAAGGAAACATATTTTTGACAATGTGGTCGTATTTATACCCACTATAAAGTCAAAATGGCTCAGAAGGTTAAACTGCTGAATCTTGAAGCTTAAGTTACGATTTATTTGAGTCGTGATTCGAATCCCCTCATCGCCATAATATCTCTTTCAAAAGCTACTTTAATTTTTATATAAGGATAATTTATGTATTTTCCTTCGATTTTCTATCTTAAATGCATAGTTTTGATTTAAAAGACATTAAAGAGAAAGCAAATCGTACGTGTAAATTCTAAGTAACTATAAACAGTAAAACGGAACTATGCCTCAGTGTAGCACACTTTAATTTCTTAGAGGACAAATATTATTCATTCTGTGTCACTAGAAACAGGTATTCTCGTCTGCAATGAGCTGAGATGAATTTTGTGTCGCCTGCAGAGCACTTACGGATCGCTTTAAACGGCGTCTGTCTGTCTGCCTGTCCGTCCGTCTGTCACACCCTATATCTCGAGAATTGTAAGAGATATGGATTTGATATTTTGCATACTTATTGCTTAGCACTATAGCTTATGTAAATTACCATGGTTACCGATTTCGTTATCTTTGACCTACTTTTCAAAATAGTTCACGATGCTGATATACAGCATATTTTTTAAAAGTAATTCTATACTATTTAGCATGTGCACTGTTTGTCTAAAGACGATATGAAAAATACAAGCATTACAATCCATTTGACCTTGACCCACTTTGCAAAAAATACTCCGGGCAGTTAACTTTAAGTTTTGAATTTTGAGAGATAAAATTTTGATAATTAGCATTTATATATTTTTATGAGCTCATGATACTGTACTTTCAGTTTGAAACTGTATGATATTCAGTTACCACACAAACTTATATTTAAATACTAATAGATCGTGGAGACTGACAATTGCAGTAAAGACAGACTGAACTCACCTTTGGAAGATTGTTGGAAACACGTATTAATAACATGATAAATAGTTATTTCTTATAATTTCAATTTAATTATTCATTTGAGGATTATAGGGAACCATATGTTCTTTGATTGTCAGATTCTTTTGCAGTCTTATAATATCCATGGACGCCATTATTTCTTTATGCTAATAGTAAATAAAAAGCGGGCCACTCTTAGATTTATTTACATCTTTGATTAATGAAGCTACAAAGCAGGCCACACATGCGTTCCTTGGAACTCTCTTGTTGTTTTACATACTTTAGATTAATTTGATACCTTATAATTTTATCAATTCTGTATCTTTGATGTTATTCCGTCTGCACTACCAGTAATTGTCTATTGAGCTGGAACGTTTACGTAGTGCTTATTTAATTTAAGCTTATAATTAATGCAGTATTTTTAACATTTTAAGTCAATAGTCTAAAACAGAAATCATGAAATAGTAGTGCTACATATTATTAACTACACTCCCCGAAACCTCATATAAAATTGTGTACACATTAGGGATGGAATCGAATACAGAATTGCCTATCGGTTAACCGCAAGACGTTCCGACTGATTCATCGGTTAATCGTATCAAAAATTCTTGACATATTATATCGTTGTGAGCATTACTAAAAAAACAAGGTTATAAAGATGTTACATGTAGAAATATTATGTTTAATGAACAAAAAACTTTCTATATCTTTATTCAATTTTAAAAGGTGAAAAAGGAAAGAATAATAGAAAAAAATTAAAAAAAAAAAAAAAAAAAAAAAAAAACTCATGAATCATGCCTGAAGTTTCATACATTGTATACATTTAAAAATAATTCAGAGACGTCGCGCTATACTCACATGTCACAATACTCGAAACAAAGTCTGAACTATCGCTTAATTTTTAATGTTTCTTTAAAAATATAATTTGATGGGTAACTACAAAGGATGGAAGAGGTAAGGAACACATTATAATCAGTTCACGGTACTCAACGATTATCTAATCAAAATCATTGACGAAATGAGGTAACAACATGGTGTTTAAACAACAATTAACATCTCGAATACTCATCAATTGTCCCTATGATGTCCTACCATAGAGCCTTAATTATTCCCAAGTCAGCTTAAAGAGATCGGAGAATATGCTAAAATTTCAGATATTTTTATTTGATTGAATTTTTAGGAAATTGTCTTGTAATTTACATAAATATTATTTTTTCCGACTAACCGATTACAGATTTTCTAACCGATTACTATTGTTCCGATAATTTATTTAAAACTAACGAAGATACGTGCATGGCTTGATAGTTCTTCTTTGTTATATATATTTATGGGTTTTTTTCTCTTATATTTCATGAAGTATGTTAGCTCGGTAAAAACTATACGGTCACATCTGCAGGAAAAATAATATAACTGCAAACAAAATATCAATGTGCAATAAAGCTTTTGAGCGCATGAGAGAGGCGGGGTGAGGGAGAAAGCAAGATTTCTTCATTGAAAAAAATGTAAACAAAATAGATATTAAAATCTGTATTTTGTGAATAATTCAGTTTCTCTTTTTTTTTTCTCAGAATCTGACACACATCTGACATGGAACAGCTTGTATGTGTTCTATTGACATCGTGCATAGTGGCAACCAACTGTGATAATTCACAGTTACAAATATCTGCTCTCTTTGAAAGAGTTTTGCAGTTGGAAAACACAGTACGTTTTCAGACAGACAAGATAATTGATCTCGAGAAATCAAATACGGATCTGAATAAAATTGTGGCAGAAAAGACCGAAAAGATAGAACGTTTAGAGACCATCGTGGGGAAACTACAAGATCAGAAACTGCCACCAGTCGTAATAGATTCCCCTTACCAAGACAATGAGTCGTTGCTGAATAAACCTGATGAGGAGAAAGGCTTTGACAATTTTCATCGAAATCACACTATTCGCCAAGGTATTTAGTTAATTAAATGTTCATCAAATCACTATTTTTTCATATCAGCAATCATGATGTTCTGATAAAAAAAAAAACAACAACAAAAACAACAAAAAACAAAACAAAAAAAACAGTCCTACAAGTGTGGAACAAATTTGCCAATATAAGTACAGTAGTTTTTGCTTAATACTAGAATCAGTCTAACAGACAATAGTTTGCATGAATATAAAAAACAACATTCTTATCAGTGGAAAATTCTGAGTTAAACAGACGTTCTTCAATATAGATTTAATTTATTTCATATTTAAAATAATATATATACATGTACTTCGAATACGCCTCAAACAAATAATTTCAATATTTGAAATTAGTTTCTTTTTATGTACATGTGGGACTATTAAATTTCAGAACGCTTACTGGCACCTCCAACAACTGCACCAGAAATGGTAGGCTTTTATGCTATCATGTCCAAAGGTATGACAAACCCAGGAACTCACCAAACTCTTATATTTGATAAAGTTCAGCTAAATGCAGGAAATGGATACCAGCCTCACTCTGGTGTTTTTATCGCTCCAGCCACAGGGATGTACGCCTTTACTTGGACAATGCGTCTCCACACAGCACACGGACCCGAGCACCACAGCACCCAATTAATCGTTGACAACAATATGTATAGTGCAGTTTATCTTAGCGTTGGAAATTCTGGCAATGAAAATGTTAGTGGCACCTGTGTGGTCCTCTTGAATAAAGGAGACGATGTGTTCGTAAGAACAACCTCGGCTAATGGAGGTGGAATCGAGAGTGATGGTTCTGGGGTGACCGCGTTTGGTGGATGGCTTATCAAATAAAGTGCGCATCATGTTGTAATGCTTTGTAAGTGAAAGGATCAATAAGAATTTACGAGAAAATATTACTCTTCAAAGGCCATGATTATATTTCTTTGGATATTTGACATTTTATGAAAAATGAAAAACAGATTAACAGTTCTGTGTTTGGAGTTTCCCTCTCTTTCAAGCAGGGAAATATGGCTGAAATATTGCCGACTCGGCGTTAAACAATATCAACTATCAATATCTTTCAAGAAGTGCATATATTCACTCTAATGAAGTATGAGAATAAAAATAAGTTCTATAAAATAAGTAGTAAAAATTCTAAAATATATTGTAGCCAATTATGAAAGATCCTACCGGTCATACACATTATACTAATGTTAGTGGTTATTATGGAAATTTTAGAAATATCCATGCGGCCGTGTATTTATAAAACTTTCCAAATAAAATATGATTTTTTTCTAGCCACAAACTATAATTTAGTATAAAAGTACCAGTTTTAATATTTAATGCAATTTTCAGTATCTTTAAACAGTTCTCTCTCTTTTCCGGGATTATTCTTGAAAAAAGTACTTTTTAATAAGCACAAACATTATCATCTTCATGTCATAAAATAACATATCGCCTGCTCCTGGCAGACTGATCAATAAAAATTAACAGAAAATAAAAATTACAAAGAAATATTGCGTTGCATTTGTCATAAGCAGTTCAAAACAAAGAAATGTACAGGAAAAGAAGTAAGAGCGTTATTCAACAAGCATTCTGAGAGTATTGCATTAGCAATACTAGTCCTCTACCGGCAAGTGTAATGTGGTTCCAGTTAAAAATTGAAAATGCCTTAATTCCATCAAAAATCATTGAAACGGAACGAAATTCAAACTTACTATAAAACTAATCAAGGTAAAGTCACAGACCAAAAATCAGCTCAATATCTGCAAGCGTTTAGAAAAAAAAATTGCAGAAAACTCTTAAACATTGAAAATGTCGTAATTCCGTTAAAATTCAATGAAGCGGAACGAAATGCAAACTTGATCTGTAACTTATCAAGATAAACTCACATATCAAAAATCAGCTATATATCTGCAAGCGTTTAGGAAAAAAGTGCGGAAAACCAAGTGGGACAGACTGACAGGCAGAAGGACAAACCTATAGTTCCCTCCGGTTTCACCGGTAGGGGACTAATAAATCGAAATCTATGCAAGCCTCGCCCAGTGTATTACAAAGTCAGACACAACGTGATGAACAAAAGTATCTCTGGGTATAGAGTTATTGGCGTAATCATGAATTAGCGTTACACATGTCCGCGCCGTGCATGGTATTTATTAATGTTTTCTTGGTGGTAGTCATGAATTAGCCATATTTGTCCGCACGAAAGCCGCTAAAATATAAAGCCTGCTTCTTTAAGTACACGAACAGTGCTTTGTAAGCTCACAAATCATTTTACACAATCATTTTACAGTAACTTGACTTTTATTTCACATCTAGTAAATAAACCTAACTTCACAGTTCGAATTTTAAATTATAAAATTATTCGTGTTTAATTTTTAGAAAATTACATCCAAGTCAACGAGAGTGAATTTGGGTTACCTTAATGTATGCTAAATTTAAAATAAAAACTTCAAATAAGTAAAGTGGTGTACCCATTAATTATTGTCCCCATTAAAAATGGCCGCCGTAGTAATGAGACGCTTCGGAGAAATAAAACAAATAAAATTACTAAATAATTTTCTACCTTAATACTTAGTTATATAGCCCTTTGATGTAAGAACTCTCTGTATTCGTCTGGATATTGATCTACATGTCTATAAGCTCTGAACATAATCAGATAGGATCATTATCCAGATACGTTGAATGGCTGCCTCCAGCTAATTTTTACACAAGAATAGTTATGTGCCACAAAACATTTTAGTGACTTTATCGTGTAACTACAATATGGGAATCCGTGTGGATTATTAGTTCGTTCTTTAATGGACTACTGTTTGACAAGGCCCAAAGGAATGATGATTTGGAAATGAACTTCTGAATTAATTAATGGAAATCTCGCCCTTTAAGCATGAATTTGAATATTCCAAATATTTAAGAAACAAATAATCATATGAAAATTACATAATTTCTTTTCAAGCTTACAAAGTATATATATCTTGGATTCGAAAGAAATATATATGGCAAGACTTTTATTACTTTTTCTCCGAAAATAAATTATCTCTCCCAATAAGAGAGATATCTCTCTTTGCCTAAGAAATATCTCTTTAACTTAAAGACATATATCTTTAACTTAGAAAGATCTCTCTTTATCATAGATAGAATATCTCTTTAACCAAAAGAGATATCTCTTTATCCAAAAGAGATATAGGGAGATATATTTTTAACTCAGAGAGATATGTCTTTAACTTAGAGAGATATCTCTTTAACTTAGAGAGATATCTCTTAAAGTTACTATAGAAATACATGTAAGAGCTAGCTCTGAGAATTATAGATAACATTATGAATTAAATATCTAATTCTGGCTTACATTGATAGTGTGGTTTAAAAAAATATTTATTTAAATTGTAATACACGAAAAAAAAAACTAGCAAAGATTTGGCGGAAGTAAGATGGAATAAGCTTTTCTACTTTACATATAGTCATAGTTTATGGTTAGAGAGAAAAAATGCTTTTCTGCACTCTGACTATATATGTTTGCTGCTCGATATAATTAAGAGTCCCCCTCTTTTTTTTTAATCAGCCACCTACGCAATATTTGTAGTATATATTTAATTAACAGTTAACAAGAAATCAATGATTTTTTAACATAAAAATGTCAGTCTCAAAACATACATCTATCTAAAAATTGTATTTGGGAATCGTAGTTCAAAATACACGTGCCGGCAGTGGTATTTGAAACTGGCATAAAGTGTGTATCAAATTTATGCATCTAAATCATTGCAAGTGCATACATCCAATGTATTTTCGCTTTTTTTCTAATAAAAAAATCTAGATCCTGATCTAGAAATGATCAGGAAAATATATCAAACTTTTTGGATGTACTAGAACTTCGTCTTCGGCATGACGAGCCTTACACAGCAAGACAGTGTCAAACGATTTTGATTGACAGGACAAGCATGTGGACTTCGTGTGAACTTTAAGCAGAAAAAAAGACTATGACTGCCAAACAAACAGATTATTTTAATAAAGAATGGATTAGTAACATTGCTTGATATATAAAAAAAATACAACGTAGGATTATTTTTCATACAGTGCATGCATTGTGGATGAATGCAGGGTGAATTTCTCTCTCTGTATCATTTGTCTGTCTATTAAAACCTATGGTAGCATCATACTTTGATATCAATTTCTGAAATTTAAATCTATAACAAAAAATATAAATGCCTCTTCGTATCATCTTACCCGAATAGAAATACGGGGTGGGGTCTAAGGATAGTAGTCTTCCTAATAAATGATCAATAAAAAATATTTTCATATAAGTACATGTATATAATATTGCATGAAAATATTATAACACATGTATGTTTTTGCGACACATCCACAGACCTATTCAAAATATGTCATGTCAAATGTTGCAATATTCGATCTTTTCCATTTGTATTGTATAATTTTCAATTTGTATTGTAAAATTTTCCATTTTTATTCTATAATTTGTCATTTGTATTGTAAATTTTACATTTGTATTCTATAATTCTCCATTTGTATTGTACAATTCTTTATTTGTATTGTGAAAAATATATCTCTATTAATTGAGAAATATCTCTATTATTAAAGAGATATCCCATTAAAATAAGAGATATATCCTAAATTACAGTGATATCTTATTTTTCTAATAAATAGTAAAGGGGCTTGCCATCAATGTAGTTTTTCTCTTTTTTTTCTACCACGTCCTTTTAGTAGGAATTCAATTTATGATAATCTTTTGATCCAGGCGACAAATGCATGTGTAGTAAAAAAATAAAAAATGAAAATTAACATATTAAAATTAATATTTATTTATCGTATATTTGTTTAAAATATATGAGCGGATCTTAATTCATTGTATCATGATAAGCTTTTGTACATAAAACTATTTGGCATTATTCTATTAGAAAAGTACTGTGAACTTGAGGAAATTTGCGAAATGAATTATTTACTCTGATTTTTTTTTGCAGATATCTAGAAAAAGAAATATCCAGCACACGGTCTAATAACGATGATTTTTAACGATTTGATAGTGGAATCTGTTAAACTTTGCAGCATTTTTCAAAAACTCTATTCAAAAGATATTGAAGATACATGTATTTATAATTCAAACTATGAATTCAACTTTGATTACGCCCTTGCAATCTTTAAAATGTAAAGATGACCTCAATACTGCAGGCATATTGGATTGCAAATATATACCTAATAAAAAAACCCTCTAGATAATTGTCACATCACGTGTCCAGTCTTAATATAAAATTCAACCATCTTCAATATTCAATTTATCCCTTATTTTGTTTGTCCAATATTGGTAAAGTTCTAAGAAGAAAATTCTTTCATTCTGAAGAATGTCTTTTTTTCACAACAGTTTATCGAGATTTCCATAAAGCACCTTAACTACTCTGTATAATCATGTCTCGTTTGACCTTCTTACATTGCCAGGTAAAATTTTGTCCTTGCTCTACATGATATGAAATTCTCTGCGTGGTAAGTTTATTTTACCTACTTACTGAATTTTTTAGTTTTAATTTTTATTTATCCAGGGTTCTCCATCATTTAAAATTTAACTGTGGCGCAAGACATACGCAATGTGCTAACATTCGCGGTCATTTCGCGACCGAAACATATATAACTGTGAAAAAAGACCTCCAACACTAATACCTTATAGAATCTGAAATTAATAGTGCCAGTTTTAACACCCTTTAAGCATTTAACCCTAATTTTTTTTTTAAATAATTTTGTTTAGGAAAAGGTAAATTATACACCTACAGTGTTCATTAAAGGACGGAGGAAATTCTTGTAGGTCACACAATCACGCTTATATCTCTATATTTTAATTATTGATCTGAAGTATTTTTAAATTTGTGAATAAAAAAACACTTTAAAAGCAGTTTAGAGTCATAAGACTATATTTTCGTATATCTACTCGTTAATTTTTCAACATTACAAAAATACATGATTACAATACACGTACAATGTTTGACTCGCAGTGCCAATTCAATTTAGTGAAGTGGTTACCTGTTCTACCTATTAAAGCATGAATTAGTTGATATTAAAAATTTAATTATCGTGAAGTGTAAAAATATTGCTTGTTTCTTTTCATTCATGTGTCCAGGGAGATCTAGAAGTAATTGATTGTGCAGGGCAAACAATGGGTCCTAATTAGAGTAAATTAACGGTTTAGCATTAGAAACTGAAAAACGGTATATAAATTGGAGGTTCATTTTATCTATAAATTTATATATTGATTTAAATAACGACGACAATTGTAACTGTGGCGGACCTATGGGATTATGAAAACCCTTTGCCTTAAATAAACTTTCATGTTGTAAGTTTTTCTTAGTGTTGGTACTTCTTGCAATGAAAATGTTAGTGGCACCTGTGTGGTCCTCTTCAATAAAGGAGATGACGTATTTGTAAGAACAGCTGCAAATAATGGAGGTGGAATCGAAAGCGATGATCATGGGGTGACCGCGTTTGGTGGATTGCTTATCAAATAAAATAGGCACCAGTTGTGACACTGTAACTGAAACGATCACAGTACAATTCAAGAGAAAGTATTACTTTCAAAGGTCTTGGTTTTATTTCTTTGCAATATTTGAAAGTGTTTGAAAATACAGAGTAGATTAAAAGTATTATGTTTGGAGCTTCCTTCTCCAAAGAAGGACAAACATTTATCGGTCATTTCTCGATCATGACAAGGAGCACACGGCGGGTGTGACTGGTAGGAAGGGAATACTCACTCCTCCGTGGCACCTTTTCCCATCTCTGATTTTTGGAGGTCCTTGTTAGCTCTGCTCCCGATTTGTATTGTTTTAATGGACTTTTAGCTTGAATACTGTTCGTTATCTCCATATTTCATTTAGGGTGATAAAAAATTCAGGACAATTTAATAAATTGTGGAAAGTCGAATATTTTTTAGCCAATCATATGTGAACCTACAGGTCATACACTTTTTACTGGTGTTAGTCGTAATAATCTTTCAGAGCAAGAAATATTCACGTTCCATGAAAAGGATTTGATTCAAGATTTGTTTGAAACTTTGGAACTATATCATCTTAATTTAAATTACGATTATCACCGTGACAGTCAGATTTTGTTTAACTGATCATGACAAGGAGCACACGGCCGACTTAAACGGGTGCTTACACCTCTATGGCACCTGATTCCACTTCTAGTTTCAAAGGTGTGTGTTGACTGTGCTCGTAATTTGCATTTTTAATTGGACGTTTGAGAATGATCACTGTTCGTTATTTTCTCATTCCATCTGTAGTGTAAATGCATCAATTGACAAAAAGAAAAAGCAAAAAGGAAATGTGTGTTTGTAAGGATAAAATGTAAATACATATCAGGTAGCATTAAAAGAGAAAAGAAAGAACCATTCTTATATTTCTGGGCGTGACATTTGAGTGACCAAATTTATTTTGACTTTTGACAGATTAATAGATCATAACAATGCATACATGAATTGTATAATTTCATGTTGTAATTGTATTGCACTCTGGTTCTGGATCCAGCTCTGACATCGACAAAAATCGAAAACAAAATAATTATTTAATAATTAATATTCAGTGTAAAAGTTTGATTTTTCTTAGCGACCTGCAAAATTAAGATCAACGTGTAAATTAAGCGTACAAACTTTAAGTTTGCTCAAGGTCAAATAAAGTACCATACACCAGGATTTGATATAAAACATTTTTTTATTAAATACATTTCAAAGTCATACAACAAAAGCCCTATACAGTAAACATTAAATATTTACAGTCATGGTAGTAGTGTAAATCTTTGCCCTAGTCTGGGATAAAAAGGACAACTAACAGGAGATCAAAATATACATGATGCAATATTTATTATACATCTGTATCTAAAGAACCAAGTAAGGCAGTGAAACAAAAATAATGTAAATATATTTTTGTGCCCAAAATTTATATCTGACAATGACAAATAAAAAAAACTAAAATTGATTTGAATTAAATAAACCTATTTCAAAAAAAAAAAGAAAGAAAGAAAGAAAATATGTCGAAAAAAGTTTTGAAATATTTTTGAGCTTCATCTATGATATGCTTTTGAAGTATGATAAAAAAAAAATACCACTCACATATCTTTGTTATGATATTGAGGCTGGGAATTCATCAAATTTTGCAATAGCTCCATAAAAATATGAAATATTTTTTTTTTTAGCCATAGACTATTATTAGGTTGAGATGTTCCAGTAATAACTTGATATTTATAAAAAAAAAATAAAATAAAAAAAAAAATAAAAAAATAAAAAAACGAACAGTATTCAAGCTCAAAAGTTCATTCAAACAATGCAAATCAGTAGCAGAGCAAACACGGACCTCTAAACCATCAGAGGTGGAATCAGGTGCCATGGAGGAGTGAACATCCCCTGCCGACCGGTGCAATTTAATGCAATTATATGTTATCTTTAGACATTGTTCTTCTTTTCCAGGAGATCGAAATACTAATTGTCAGAAAAACTACCATGAAAATCCAGTTCTCTTTAGTATAAAAGAAAAAAGAACTTTAAATATATTTCTTATCTACTAAAACAGCTTTAGAAACAATCACTATGTGATAAGCACCAATAGTTTGATCAAATTGCTGTCATAAAACCATGGAATAATAGTTACAAATGGACTGCTCTCTGCAGACAAACAAATAAAATATAATAAAAAAGAAAAAAAGAAAGAAAAATTGCATTAAACAATTCATAAACAATTCAACTCACAGAAATGTATAAAAAAAAAAGTGGAAAGTTTATTTCAGAACCTTGTAAAACTTTAATTGGTTATTGTTTTAAAACTGAACAGTGTATTTCATAACTACAGTTCATCGTACAATAGATATCTACCCTTCATTGCCTTAAATAAAGTTATGGGCAACAAACAGAAGTACATCCTCGGGGACACACTCCAAAGGGCTCATGGTCTCTTTGCAATATTCCTTACAAGAGAGCGGCATCCTCCGACGAAGTTGACCACTTGGTGCTTAGACTCCTTTGTCGAGCGAGACTCACTTCGTCCATGTAATGATAGTTCGTACATCGCTCAAGATCAACTTGGGTGTCCCCTACCATCTTACCATTCCCCTTAATATCTAATAACTTTTCAATTTCTTCTCTCATTCGACTGAATGGAGGTCGCTGCATCGGATTCTCCTGCCAGCACATTCTCATAAGTCGATACCTTTTATAATGAATATCATTTATTAATTAATAATTCATTAAACGAGTATAAACTATTCTGGTGATATAACATTTTTTTGTACATTTTAAAGGAAACTTGAGAAAATTAAGTAAGATTTCGGTAAATGCAAAAACAAATAGTCTAAATAAAATGTTTGATAGTAGATAATAGCATCACTCAATAGGAAAATTTCTAAAGCCTTACAAATGGGGAGGACAATATTCTGGTCGTTGCAGTCGCCTTCCGGTTTTAATGTAAGTGCACACATCCCAGTTGTCCACTTCCGGGTAGGGGATAGCTCCTCTTGTCATTAACTCCCACAACAACACTCCATAAGACCACTTGATAAATAAATAGTACTTCATTATATTTCATATCTTTAGTTAATGCTAAGAATAAAAATAAAAGTTTACACAAACCATTCACTTTTTTCAACTTTATTTTTATTTATGAGCAAATCTTTTAGCCAATCGAATATGACGAGTTATTTTTTTTTTGTTCTTAAGCACAGGTACACTGGATACTTTCTTGCTATTAAAAGATATGTTGATGTAGATTAAGTATTGAAAACTTATATATGGATTATACAAAATGTTAGAGAAGGTTTTTTCTTGGTGATATTCTTCAATTGTTTTCTTTATAAACAAACATTTTACAAAACCAAATACAAAATGCATAAAACGCTATAAGCACGAATATCAACATACAACATCTGATTTTGCTGAGTATTTTCCCTGTTCCAAACTCTCAGGAGCCATCCATTTGACTGGCAGACGTTCTTTGTTTTCACTACTGTAATATTGTTTGGAATAAACATCCCGAGTAAGCCCAAAATCTGCAACTTTTACGATAAAATTGGAGTCCAGCCTATTCAGAAAGAAAATAATTATGTAAAAGTGGATTCACTTACTAGATAATGAACAAATCCTTTAAAACAACCTTAAGTCCGCCTGAAATATGGCTGAAATGTTGCCGGCTCGGCGTTAAACAATATCCATTAATCAATCAATCATTTTTAAGCTTTAAACATTTTCTTGTTAAACTCATAGCAATGAATATGAAATAATTCTCAGAATGACTTTATAAAGTTATTAAATGAAACACAAGTGATTGATATATTCATTGAAAATATTTTCCAATTGTCAAGGAGCATATTGAAGGCAAACACATAATAAACAGTATTTAAACTCCAGACTCCGTTGGCAAGAAAGGCTTTTGTATATCTCTGCCAAACTAGAAAATCCTATTAAATTTCAAAAAGACCCATACATGCAATTTCTTGCTGCTAAATCTCTATGGACAAACTTATTTTCAGCCATATACTCCATACCACGTGCTATATGAAGACCATAGGTTACCAGCATTTTTACAGTCGGCATCTGAAAATAGATTTTTATCTTTTTAATTTTTTGTAAAAAAAAAAAAAAAAAAATTAAACAGTCTCTTTAATTATCTATTATTTACCACTTTTTTCAACAGTTAGAAACTATAAAAGGACTTTCTGTATTATATATCATAAAAATGCCTGTATAAGTTTCTTTCTCAATTGACCTTTCAATTACATTATTATTTCAATTATCATTTTATACATTGATCACTTATCATAGGTGAATAACAAAGGGGAATGAATTATTTCAGTGGACTACGAATTGATTGATGCCTGCCCAGCACCAGAACAGTTGACCAAGTGGTCCATAATTTGAAAAATCTGATAAAAATACCTCTGCTTATTACAATTGCTTATTACAATTTTGTACTCTGTGTGCCTCCTAGACAACCAGAAACAGTGAAAATGATTTTCAAAGAATAGTGCTTTTTTCACTATAGATTCAACACAGCCCAACCCTGACACCAGAATCCCGTACCCAGGGGCACGGGCAATGAAATTAACAATTTTTGAAGAGGCACACTTGCACATTATAACTATGCACTTAGTTCGTTTGCATAGTACCCAGATGCAGAGAAGAGGATTTTCGAAGAATTTATGTATTTTCACTGATATAATCAATAGAGCCCCACCCTAGTTCCAGAGACCCTAGGCCCAGGGGCTGAGAAATTCACAATTTTGGAAGAGGCATCCTTGCTCATCATAACCATTCCTTGAATTTGCCTGCTAAAAACCCAAGGACGTAATTTATGCATTTTCAATATCTGATTTATCGAACACCGCCCTAACACCAGAACCCCTGATCCAGGGAAAATGAATTTCACGATTTCGGAAGAGGCACCCTTGCCCATTATAACCATGACCTTAATCCATCTGCTTAATACCCAGGGAGAGAACTAGACTTTCAAACCAATAATGCATTTTAATTATATTATCAATAAAAGCCCACCCCTAAAACTAGAATCCTTGACCAAGGGGCCTTCAAAATCATAATTTTGGTACAAGCACCCTTGCTCATGATAGCCTTGCACTTACTTTGTTTGCTTAGTACCTAGAAACAGAGAAAAAGAATTTTTAAAAAAATATGCATTTTCTCTATATATTTAACTGAGTCCCTCCCCCAAAACCAAGACCCCTGCCCTTAGGACCACAAATTTCACAACGTGCGCACCATATCTATGAACTTACATGTAGCTTATCTGCTGAATATCAATGAACATATTAAAGAAGAACACTTTTAAAGAATTAATGCATATTCACAATATAAACAATACAGCCCGGCCCTAAAACCAGAACCCATGACCCATAGGATACGAAATTTATAATTTTTTAAGAGGCACCCTTGCTCATCAAAATGCACTAACTTTGTTTGCTTAATACGCAGGATCAAAGAAGGAATTTTCAACAAAATAGTGCATTTTTAATGTATTATCAACAGAGCCTACCCCCACACCAGAACCCCTGACCTTGGCTACAAAGCTCAGGAATTTGGAAGAGACACCTTTGTTTTTCATAACCCTGCAGTCAGTTTATAAGCTAAAGATACAGGTGGAGAGAAGAATTTTTTTAAAAGAATTTTCGCATTTTCACTGTATGATTATTAGAGCTCCACCCTAACTCCAGAACCCCTGACTCTGGGATCATGAATTCACAGTTTTGGCAGAGATATTAATGCCTATCATGCTAAAAGTTTGATTTCTTGATGTTCAGGAGTGAAGAAGATTTTTAAAGATAGCATTAATTTAGATGGTTTTAGCCCAACCCCTCAGGCCCAAGGGGAGCAGGGACCACGGATTCCTAATGATGCTTTTTGCCAAAATTGGTTGAGAATTCAAGAGAAGAAACTGAAAATGTTCAAAAGTTTACGACCTTTAAGCACGATGGACGACCGACGACGACAGACAAAAACAGATAGGATTAGATCACCTGATTGGCTTAGATGACCTAAAAATCATGTTAAAGAGGAAAAGTGCCTGAAGTTGTAATTTATAGAGTTTTATTTCATGTGGCCCAAAATACACATCCATCACTGATCGAAAACGTTCAGAACTTTTATACCAGTGAGGTTTTAGTTTTTCTAAAAAATAGCAAAACATAAAGGTAATTCAAAATTAAAGGAAAAAAGCCGAATGCTGGTTTAGGTGGGTAGTACTGTGAAATACATGTATTACGACCGAGCTCTTAAACCTTAATAAGTGGTGGTTAGTTTTTTTTGGGTTTTTTTTTTTTTTTTTTTTTTTTTTTTTTGGTTGTTTTTTTTTGTGTTTGTTTGTTTGTTTTTTTTGGACGCCTCCAGATAATATTTATAGGGCGAGATAACATACTTAATTGTCTTTAACATTGCTCTTAAGATCACAATTCAAAGAGCTAGGTTCACTTTATGCATAAAATGGCCCTGTAGGTATACCAAATTATTGACTAATACCCCGTGTACCATTTTCAACATTAATATAAAGTAGAGACCTAGTGCTTTCAGTTTATAAACTAGAATTTCCTTTGAAGAGTCCAGGCATTGAAAAACAGGTTGTGTGAAATTGCAATGTTATTGAATTTTGCAGAAAACAGGTGTTTTTGAGAACCTTCAGCAAAGAATTAAAATATGAGCACACCCCTCGATCCAAAAATTAAAATATGTTTTAAAATCTTCATTAACAGTTCTTTTATAATATAGTTACACATTTTGGATCGGAGGTTGTGCTGTATACGAAATGTTGAAAAATGGCATCACATTTTGGCCATTTTTGAAGAAATATTCAGGACATGTGAATAATGACGCAATTCATGACGTCATAATGCATTGACTAGAAAGAAAATTACGTTATTTTCAGTAGATATTCATTTACCAAGTGTTCAAGTATTATTTATTGCCTTGTTGACTAATACTATACAGTTTTGAATTTTCAGAAATTCACAAGGCCAAAAAAGGCCCAAAGTGGCTCTTGCTCTTTGAATACGATGTTAGGGGAATATCAATCTAAAAGTTTTCAAGAGCAGATATCTGTTCAGAGTTTATTCTAGAGATTCTAACGTTGTAACGACAATTTGATGTTTCAGATACATGTATATAATGCTATTTCTATTTACAATTTATTAAACATTTTCAAGATCCCTTAAATGGCACTGAATCATAAAACTTGCTATATATTAATGGATAACTTACATTATTTTCATTCCTTATGTAAGACAATAGGGATCCATTTTGCATAAATGGTAGAATGACCATTGGGAACTCCCCCTTGTCCAGAGTTATTCCTATTAACGTAAGGACATTCGGATGGTTGAAATCCTTCATGATCAATGCTTCATTTAAGAACGCCGTCACATCTGCATCGCTGGATCCTTCCAAATAACATGAAAAAAAAACAACATATTTTTAATACGACTTAATTACTCGCAAAAATATATTGATGTAAATTACTACAGGTGCAAAATAAAATTTCAATGACTAGAAATACTGAGGAAATGTTATACAACATTGACAAATACAGTAATTTCAAAACTTTGGGAGAACTTGATTTTATATTAAACAGGTATGGGCGATTTCCATAAATGGAAGCCAATGTCATTAACCGTTAATTACTATAAATACTCAAAATATACATTACGCTCATCCTTCTTAACAACATTACGGCATTTAGCCTATCCCACAAGAAAATACATGTAAATAAAAATTGTGGTTTAAAATAGTTTCATTCAAAAGATTTTTTCAGAACAAAACTTTTTTAAACTTCATGCATATTTAGAATTAATACACCATATTTAACAATTCTTCTGTGAAGAAACCTGACCTGAAAGCTTAGAATATTCTCTAAAGATGATTTTAATCTAAACTATGATGGTACAATTTTAAAAACTTTAACCCGTAATTGAAAATATGATGCATGTATAGATACGATAGACTTTCTTGTTTCAGAGTCTGGAGTGACAATGTTTTAGCAGTTATTTTCTGCCTAAACTGAATCACCCTTTTCTTGTGGGGCAAAATTACTCTATACATTATGTCGACGAAAAGCATATGTCTTCATTCTTTGTTCCTGAGTTTAACGCCATTTACATTTGCCCGTTTTCAGTGAGCATGTAGAATACATTCGGCACACATGAAATTCATACATTAACATGGACAGGTTTTGTTTTCAAAATAAAATCCCAAGTCTATGCATACAGATCTTCAAGTATACGCATAAAACATATTGAATGACTAAAATCGGACGGCTCAGCAAGAAATTTTATTTGCCATTGATGAAATTATAGAATGTACCGTATACTGTATATACATGTATTTGTAATTGACACATTTGTGGTGGTACATGTATGTTATATGGTATTCCTTGGTAAAATATGGCATTTATTACAGGCATTGATATTTTATTTTTTCTGAGATGAAAATGTTACGTTGAAGCAGCATTTCTTAGCCACTTTTCAAACAAAGTACATATTCAAATGTTCTTTTGTGTAAAATCAAGGGTTGCACAGTTCTGACATACATGTGAACACAATTTCAATGTCACTTTGCCCTGACCTGAGTTTCTGGACGATGAATGATCTTGAGCTGAAATGCATCACGATTAACCACGCACGAATTTAAGCTTTGATTTGTTTCACAAATGGAATTTTCTTTTAGTCGTTGTAAAGATGGAAAAGGCAATGGGGAAAAAGCAGGTGTGGGAGACATAATGAGTTCAAAATATTAAGGGCATGCGCAACGTACATATACTCTGCAATGTATCTTTTCCACTGATATATTTTTCAAATTATTCTTCATTTAAAATCAAAATACCATCAGATGTCCTTCCACAAAATATCAGCATACATTACCAGGAGTTTTGAATAGATATCAAATGATGAAAATTATTGCGTTCTTATTAAGAGAAATTAACACTTATCAAAATATAGTTTTGCCAGTATTTCCTATACATTTGATTACGAGAAGGTGTAAAGCATTACAATACATTATAAAATCGCAAAAAGGTCCTCTACGTATTGTAGCTCTTAAATCATAGACAATAAGAAAATTAATTTCAAAACTACGTTGCGTATGTCCTTAACAGGAATATATTGATGATAATATGATAATGGATTTGAATTCAAGATTTAATATTCTTCCAGCATGTTGTAAATCTTAAGAAAAGCATAATCAGTCATGTAAGTATTGGTTTAATAACATTCAACAATCTTATCGATGAATTAAGTAGTTCGTACTTATGATTGTCTTCACAGCAACAGTAAGCTCAAGATGTTCTTCTGGTCTCCTAAGAAAAGCTTTATATACACAACCAAAGTTCCCTAAAAAAAAATACAACGTAATTAAAATGAAAGAACGTCAGAATATGCATGAGACACTGTCAACATGCTAATATCTTAAGTTTCATCTGAAATAGTCAGACCTTATGAAGAAATTAATCTGAATCATTATTAAGTTTTGAAAAATGCAATGTCACTTCTGTGAATCATGAGGTACTTATATATGAGTAGATACAGCACTTATACAAGGATTGATAAGAGGTAAACATGACAATTGACGTTACCTCGCCCTAAGTTACCGCAGTTACGGTCAAATCTTAAGTTATCTCCATCTATCAGGAGGTTTTGTTTTTCGAGCACTTGAACCGTGACACAGAAATCACTGTCCAGTTCATCAAACGATCGTTTTTCTATAATCATGCCATCCAGATCTCGGACATAATCTACAAAAGACATAATAAAAATTGTGAGATTGTGCTGTTGAAATACAACTGAACTAGCTAAATATATGTCAAAATTATATAAGTATTGCTAGTAGGTTATGATTCCCGAATTCCAGGATGATTTAAACACTTGTATTATTTCCGTAGTATGGAGTCATTTAAAAGGGGTAGCAATTGCTATGAGTTCATCCCTATGACCGAAAATTATTCCCAACAGGAAAAATATACTTTGTTCCAATGACAAAGATCTTCTCCAAATTGCTTATTTACCATTTGAATTTTAAAGCAATTTCATTGTAAAATCCTGATGAACTATACTCTTTTTTTCGGAAAGTCTATGCTTTTTGCAAAGTAATATTTATAAATGCATGACTTGAAGAAAAATATCCATTTTGTGTACTGTAAACCACAGTTTGTTTTTAAAAAATTATTATTGATTTATTACATTGCTATTTCAGTTGTTCTGCTTCTAAACATAATGACCGTGACCTCTACATTACAGCTTATGTTTCTTAAGGATAAAAAAAAAGTTTAGACAGATTTCTTCAATTACTTAAAAAATATGCTTGTACTTTTCTATATATGTACCATTTAGTCTGGCACTCGTGCTGCTCTCAGGGTCTGGATCCGGAAGTAATCTTCGGGACACTGGAGCAGTGTGATTCTCAGCTTGGAAAACCACGGAGGACTCGTGATGAAGAATCTTTCGTTTAAATGGTCCTATTCTATTAACCTTCATACATATGGCACAAATTATTAGAAGAACTATAAAAAAGCTGATCAAGGAAATAGGTATGACTGTCTTATTGCCAGCTAGGTGTAATTTTACTTGGTGCTTTAGAGTCATATCCCCGAGTAAGAGTCTGAGATTTCCGATTGATACCTGCCGAAACGAAGGATACAGTATTACGACTATAAAAGATTATTTTTGTTTCAAGTAATTATTCATTATATGATATTGTTATAATTTTGCATATTAAAACTTTCATGTATTTTGGGAGGTAGCATTAATAATGTAAATATTCATCAGTACTGTATATTCATAAGCACGGTGATTTGTCTATTTTATCAGTTACCTCCACTTTAAATGCCATGTCTCTTTCTAGAATGTTGTATCGTTCAATTGCTGTCGTTAGATCACATTTTAATAAGGAAGACTGGACATCAATCACTGGACATTCTATTTCATCTAAGGTAACAACTATATCCTCAGGCCGTAAACCATCAAGGTTTCTTCCCTGAAACAAGTTATTCCAGGTTTAAGTTTCATATCAAAAGTAATAATAAATGGAAATTCATAATTTTTGTCTAAAAGTCTTAAGATTATTTAGCTTAAATATCGAGGATATTTTGGAAATCCTCCATGATATGTGTGATGAAATACATACACAGAACCTGATACATGTAAAAGATATTATAGTTATTATAGTTTACTATGCCTGACTACAGTTAATCAAGTGTTCAAACTTATTGCTATACTGTAATACTATAGTCTCATAGTGACCACTATATAGTGTCAATAACTATCAATGTATTAAATAAAAGTGTCAAAGATATGCTAAATCAAAGTGTCAAATTTATCACGATTGTAAATCAAAGTTTTAAGACTGATAACTATATTCACAATTGTAAATCAAAGTTTTAGAAGTGATAACTATATTCGAAGTTTAATTCAAAGTTTGAATTTTTTTCACAACATAGGTATCATAGGCTTTAACCCGACGTCAAAACAGCGAAATTGAGGCTATTCGCGAGCTTGAGGATTGTGCAAAGATTATTAACAACTGGATGAACGCTAATTAACTTAAAATGAATGCATCAAAAACAGAATTTATTCTATTTGAGAGTAAAAAACAACCAAAAAAATGTGCTACAAAAGTGATCAACATTAATGAAAATGAAATAAAACCCGTCAAACGTATACGATACTTGGGTGCATTTTTGAATGAAAATCTTAATTTCAAAGAACATGTAAATAGGAAATGTCGCACAGCAATGTTTAATTATCTAAGGATCAAAAACATTCGTAAATATATAACAAAGGAGGCTACGGGAATTTTGGTTCTATCATTACTTATTTCACATTTAGGCTATTGCAATGTTATTTTATTCGGTACAGCACAATACGAAATTAATAAAATGCAACGAATTCAAAACATGTGTGCCAAATTGGTTTTAAATCGCAGGAAATTTGACAGTTCAAAAGAATCTCTATTTGATCTCCACTGGCTTCCAATCAAAACTAGAATATCATTCAAGATTCTGACATTCATGTATAATTGTTCAGTGGGTCAAGCACCGGAATATTTAATTGAACTTCTGTCAAAACAAACTTCAAATCAAAAATTGCGCTCTTCCCGAAATTCCGAAAGCTGATACATAGTCCCATTTAATAAAAGAAAAACTTTCGGCGACAGGAGTTTTAGTACCATCGGACCAAAATTGTGGAATGAACTGCCTTTGTATATCAAACAATCAAAATCTATTGATGATTTCAAAAACAACTTAAAAAATTACTTCTTTAGGGACTTTGATGCTTTATTTTAATGATTACTCTCCATGTATATTTGTATATAATATGTTAATATTTTTTACAGCTTTACTGTACAACGCCATTGAATACATTTGTGTAAAAATAGGCGTTTAATCAAATAAATCAGTCTCAGTTTCAGTATGAAGTTTTGCAGACTTTCTGCTTTTAACAAAGATATCTGTTGAGTCTTGTACTTCGAATAATTCCATGCACTTTGCATGCAATACATATTATTTTGAATATGAATTTTACTTTGATACTTTTTTAAAATCTAATGTCTTTCAATACTCTACATTGTACAGTGTCAAAGTTATCACTTTAATTAGCTTAGTAAAATAAAGTTAACTATTGTTAGGTTATGCTTTTACTAATAATCAATTTATATCATTAATTTGGACATTAAAGAACTGATTAGAAATTGAGTTTCTACCAATAAATATTTTATTCGGAATCTAATCTGTCTATTTAATCACTCTTAATTAAAATTGATAAATGGAAAGAAAACTATAATGTTAATATATAGATATTACCTTTAGCTCCAGGCGAGTATCATGTAACACTTCTTTAGAAAGAGAGGTTCTGAGGGTGTTAAAATGAGGATCTTGGTAAACTTTCCAATGCACGGGTTTCTGATTATTCCAGGACTTCCAATAGAAGGCATCGTCTTCCAGAAGTAAAACAACTTGTGCTCGCCTCACTTCGGATATATTTGACAAGTTTGGCGTCTTACATATTATTTCAGTTCCATTAATTTGAGTGCAATTCTGGAAAAAAAATATCGCTCGCTTAGAAAAAGAAGCTTAATATATTATTGGTTCAAACTTGATGAGTTTTCTGAATTTGATGTTGAAATTTTTACAGTTTAAATAAACTTTCTAGCAGTAAAATAAAAATTTCTGGAAGGACAGGGTGCAAACTCAGAAACAAATTTTATTAATCCTAAGAAAAAAAGAAGAATGACATGAATGTCATCTTAGCGGAAGTTGCATAGCCCATTCATTCCCATAATGCCGAGAGTGTTTAAGATAGGCAGCCAAAGCTTGGACATTAATTGTCAGAAAATTAAGTAAAACATTGTGTTACATAGCACACTTAAACATGTACAAATACAACAAACAAATGAAATCTGCAGAATATAATTCGTCAAAAATGCTCTAAGACGTGCCTTGATATTTGCACTAGCAGATGCACATTTTTTTCTCATTCATTATTAATAATTATTAGAAATTATTAAAAAACAGGAAAAAAGAAATGATATTTTTAGTTTAATACTCCAATGAAACTATCAAGGTAATGAAATATTAAAAAGAAAAGTATTCAATTTATTCTTTTACCATATCTTTGATGTATGTGGAATTAATTATGGTACGGAACACATATGAGTGTACAGAACCAAAATGACGTCCTGATATTTTGAACCTCAACCCACCACTACAAGAAAGTGATGCAAAAATCTAAAAACTGAATAAAAATTATGAAATATTTTGAGGTATTACTTTTATTTTTTAAAAAATCAAATAAAAAATTTACATCACTCAGTACGAATTTCATAAAATATTTCCTCCAAAGCTAAGTAGCTTTATAATTATAATATATATTACACTATATTAATTGGCTTTGTTTTGCACAGAATCTTGTGTATGCATAAAAAAAAAAATAGTGTTTTTTAAAAGAAAAAAACAGCAACGAAGAAAAGCTATACAGTGTCTTCTCAAACAAACATGCAAACACTACCTTTGCTTTTTAAACAAATCTAATACCTTTTAAACGAATAGATGAACTTCATCGGTTGAAGAAAATTTTAACCTTCATGAAGCATGATGAAATACTAATTGTCATACTAGTAACATTCAATAACTAAAGATCTTTGTATAATTTGAATCATATTTGCCAACTATCTTACCTTTTCATTGTACTTGTTCGTGAAATATTTTGAACAACAGGGTTTGGTTTGTAGCAGAATGTTTTATTCCAAAATTTGAAATTGTCTATTTCAATCACGAAATCATCACAATATGGACATTGCTTAATGGGTTTAAAGCCTTCACTTCCAGACCGAACTATCAGACATTCATTTATTTTACAAAGAATGCTAGAGGAATTTATCCTAAAATAAAATATTTTTCATAGATCACACAATAATCATATCAAAAACTTCAATTCAATGCATCTAATAATTAAAATAAAATAATATTAAATGAAAAAAGACAATTGACACCTAAAGCGAAAAGTTACCTTATCATTTTACACATTGACAGAGAAGTTTTTGATCCAATATCCAGATTTTCACCGGTGATGGTAACAATGGTATTTCCATGTCGTGGACCAAATGTGGGACTCACTGACATCACAATCGGGACCTATGTATATTCATTATTGCACATGTAGTTAACACGTTTCTGCTGTAAATTGTCTTTCTTTGAGCAGATTCGGGAAATTTTACAAACGATTTCTTAATATCATTATATCATGATCTATAGTTAGATGATTTCAGATTTTTGATCGATACTGTAATCGGTTCAGATCATATGACAAATATATATTGGAATTTAATTTTTTTATCAAGAATCTCAAGAGAAATGCTTATGTACCTTGAATGAGAAATTATAAATGCCAATTTCTGAATCTCCCTTAATTTTATATCCATGTGTTGAATTCTGAGGATATGTTTTTACAATGACCACATCAGTAAAATTTTTGGACATCGGGAGGACACACTGAATGCTAGAAACCCAAAAGGAATAATAGCGTAACATGTACATTAGCATAGATACAAGTCTTAAAATGCTCCTTAGAGTGACATATAGTCCTTAGAGTTATAACATCTTGCCCTGCATATAAATTAAAAGTATATGCTAATAATTCAGAGAGACTTTGTTGATGATATTTTATAATCGAGCCATACGATAAAGGATTTAGAGTTTTTGTTTCTGAAATATTTTTTCCTTCTTACAATAACTGATCCTAAAAATATATTCGACCTTTCTAATTGAAAATAAAATATGCTTACTTCGTATCATTCCAAGTGACATTTTCACATTTTGTTTTCCCCACAGATATTGAGGGAGGATTTAGATTCGAGGATCCAAAATTCCTTCCCTTTAAGGTAAGAACTGTCCCACCTTCTGTTGGTCCACTGGTAGGAAATACCTGGTATTAAACAAGCAAACATAATATGTAACACTTTGCAATAGACATTGGATGTTAATATCGAAAAAAAATACTTAAAAATGTTACATGTAGCTATAGGAAGCATATGCTAAAACATTTCTTAGACTGCAAATTTTAAAAGTACTCAGAAGTTTCAACTATCACAGCTAGAAAAACGAATGCCTAAAACTTGTTTTCCCCCTGTTTTCAACTCTAGATTGCAAAGAGTTCATGCAGATCAGAGATCAGTATTTACCTCGTGTATAAATGGCGGGCAACTATCATTGTACCATGTGGACTTACACAGGTCTTTCTTCAGACAGACATCTTTGCACCAACCACATCCTAAAGGATCACCACTCAAAACACAAGCTCCACAAGTTGTATGGATTTGACAGGAATCAAGAGGAAATTTGGAAACCTAGTTCATAAAATTAATTCAAAAATTGTTTAAATTAAAGCTTAAATCATTTACAAGGGTTATTCTGAAATATTTCATAAATTGTATAATACTGAATGACCAAATTAATTCATATTTGCACAACGTTATGAAATGAATTCTTCGATATTTTTGCATAGTACTATTTTGAGGCTACAATATTGTATGCATATGGCAAATGACATTCAAAGGATGTTATGCATTTGTGGTTGGCGCCAAGCATTTTTTTTTTTTCATTTTTAAAAATAACATTTTCAGAGAAGTTTTGTATATTTTCAGATTATACGAAACTATAGTGTGCCAAATTCACATCGATGAAAACATCTTGGCAAAGCATAACTTATTCCTACTTTTAACTAAATATACTGACAACCAATAAAAAGACAACAAAGCAGTAATAAATTAAGTGCATACGATGTTTCCTACTTCTACTGAAATCACTACACACACTCTTATAAAAGGTGAACGCAATAATATAAAATCGTAGCGAGCCAATTTTTAGAGATGCGTTACAGCAATATTTCAGAATTTCTTTTTTTCTCACGCACCTTATTACCATACAGAATGTAGGCGTACTTTCCTTCCTCAACAATCTCTACATCAGGTTCTATTTTTACACTTCTATTTTTTGTGAGATCAAATTCGACGTAGACCCGAGACCCAGTAGGTGAAGTACTGCCTACCTGAAGGATAACAATATTTTATTTATCAAGAAAATATCAAAGTATATCCATATGTACATGAAGGTATGAAACATATATAGAAGTTAGAGTTTTCAATGGATGCTATGAATCAGATAAGACACATAGATATAAAAGAAAAGTAATTTCAAATATGTTTGTATGTGATATACTGTAAAGTGATTAATTTTCATCGGGCCATTATTTGTAAAAAATACTTTCGCTAAATATAGATATCTTGCCCCCCCCCCTTTTTTTTTTAAATCAGATCATGTAATCTGCAAGGCAAAAGATGTTATCGTTTATTATATTATTTAAAGATAATGTTTTTTAAAAGAAAGTAAAAACAAAATACTTTTAAAAGAAACCCATCGTTTGTTCCAATCCATACTAAAGGATTTTGATATTCTGTCATTCCATTTGAGAAAACACTCGTAAATAACTTCTTCTCATGTCTATAAATCTCGGCTTGACTTCCAGGTATGGGTGCTATACTTTCAATTCCATATAGAGAGCGTAGTTTACCATTTGTACAAATTCTCCCTGCCGGAATCTGAAACATGAACATAAGTAATTGTAAGATATTAAAAATATGTCACTTTGTCATCAACTAACTGGAAACATTTTTATAAATCAAAGTTTATAGTTTGTAATTCTATAACATCAATGTAATAAATATTAAAGGAGTTATAAAATGAATTATTGATAATGCTTTAAATAAGATTTTAACTCACATCTGAATCCTTGTTGCATCTTCTATGCTCACAGTTATTCCAACGAGGAGGAGTATATCCACTCTTCTTAATATTTGAATAACAACTGATATGCGTAAACGTAAACATTTTATTGATTTCCTGGATGTCCAACATACACACAACAGACGATGGGAGGGCTTCAAGAGAATGGCTTCCCGTTCCAAAAGCCACATACAAAGTCCCATTAGTCAAATAATATGCAGCAGTAGCAATGTTATGTTGATTACAGGACAATATTCTTTCACTAAATGAACCCATGTAATCGTCGTTTTTGCAAATTCGAGATAGTTTGGTTTCATAATAGTTTCTAGAATCTTCCATTCTTATTTTTAGATAGATTGAATAAACAAACTCTTCATCTTGGAATCCATAAATAAATTTTAGATTCGATTTTCGTCGTTCTTGGTCACAAAGTTTCATTTTAGAGTACACGGATTCGTCCAAAAATTCCTCGTTATATAACTTTTTGAAGGAAAATTCACTTTCCACTGAATTCCCTCCATCCCAACTTGTTCCAATAAAGTAGATCCAAGTCTGTTCTTTTTGTATCGGAACAAGTATGGAACCTTTTCTACTGTCTATATAGTTTGCTTTCTTATCAGATAATGGCGATATCTCTTTTCCAGACAGTAAATTACAACTTTTATGTTCCAGTGATCCACACATCAGTGTTTTCTTTATTTCTGGTAAATACTCTAAAACCTCCACTATATCATCCGGAGCTGTTGCATTTCCACAAATACTGATTTGATTTTGCACACAATACTTTCTTCTAAAAGAAATGCTAGACGCATTTTCGAATTTTGAATTAAATCGTAAAAGAGCGTTTTTTCCTCCAACATAAATTTCCCCAGTGTTTCGATGAATGGCGATTTTTCGAAGGTCTGAAGTTGAATCATCCGTTTTTCTTGTTGTGTAAAATGATGTGGCAATTTTAAAGTTGATTAGTATAAGAAAAACAATTGCGTAGTTCTTCATATAAAACATTCTTGCGATATCTAAATAAACAACATATATATGGATGACAGCCACAGTCAATTTTAAATTCTAAAATATACTTTAAGACAGGAATTATGGCATTTAAAGTACACAAAATTGTCTTGGAATGGAAACTAAAAAAACATATGACTAGTTTCACATGATTTTTTCAGTCAATAAATCTATTGTAAATGTCTCCATTGTATGAAAATGTGCATACAAAATAAACCCTTGAAACATATGACGGTAATGAAATCATACTAGTTAAAATAACTTCACTAATAAACAATTAATTAAAACGTTTATTAAGTTTACCGCATTGTAAAAAAAAATTTTATAAGGTTCCAAAAATATACTTGCTCAATGAATTAAGGCTTTTTATCATAGAGCAAAATAAGAATCAATGATATTAAATTATTTGTGAAAAAATCAGGTAACTCGCTTGACCAAACACTTAAAAGACCAATACTCATGAGGAAAAAGTAGATTGACCTTTGTTCCAATAAAAATGGAATAGTCATTCTAACAGAACTGACGTCACTATGGATTTATTTTCCAAGAACAAAATTTGGGTTTATTTAGCAATTCAACAGATATAAGGTTTAGATGCTTTCATATCATCCGTCTGAATCAGAGAGCATAGAAAATCAGTTCGAAATGAATAAAGAAAACCAGCATTAGTATAAAAGTCCCGGGACCGTACCAAAACTGTCAAAATGAACAATATTTTGTATGTGTAACTGTTATCAGGCTTTCTAAATGGTAAGAAGAATTGGAAAGACAAGAAAATGCTGATTGCCATAAAGACCTGTTCGGTAGTCACTTGATCGACCAATATAAGGTTGTACACATTCGTCCCGGCATGTTTCAAAATATGTCCTAAGCAGTTATTTTTTGAGTCTTCTTTTTTTTTAAATAAATGAACTCAGTGCAAAAAAAAAAAAAAAATCAGAGAGAAAAACACTTATTTCCGAATGTTGCAAAATGTTAAGTAAATTATTTTGAATAATGTTCCATAATAAATATTTATTTCCTTATACAGGAATACTGTTGTTTTATTTCTGGAAAATTGATTTTGATCAAATTGTTCGCACGATCTAAACCGTACCGATATGTACACGGGTCAGATTGTTTTGTAATATACGAATTTATTTCTCGATTTAAAAACATATTCAAACAGTTTTTTGGGGAAAAAAGTTTGATCATAAAATGTACCATATACGTTACTATATAGTACAAACAAAAAACGGATACCTGGAGAGAGAGAGAGAGAGAGAGAGAGAGAGAGAGAGACCTTTTTCGATTGTAAATGATAAAAAATATCAAATTTTATTGGGTCGTATCTTGGCTGATGTGTTTTATATCAAATGATAGGCCTTTTGTTTATATACTGAATTTGACTACGGATTATTCCGTCTACATGTTCAATACATAGGGCTCACGACGGAACCCGTCAAAAGGGGATGCTTACTCCTCCTATGCACCTGATCCAACCTTAGGAATTTTCGGGGTCCGTGTTTTATGTCCTGTTCACAGATTTGTATCGCTTGATATTTTTTTTAGATCGATTACTATTCGTTATCTTCACCTTTTCATTCCTAAAATATCAAGATATTGTAAACTATCTGTGATGTTCAAAATTGTACCTTTCTGTGAGCATCTTTAAAATTCTATACAACTTTTAATATCATTATAGGGTATTTTTGTGAAACTTTAAAAATAAATTTAGAATCTATGAGGTCAAACATTCATTTTACTTATATAACATGATTTAGTTGTTTATTTCTTGATTTTCAAAAGAAGTTTGTATCATCGGTATAATTTGGAGGAAGATTTTGCATAATCTGGAAAAAATGTCCCATTAATTACCTTTAGCTTGAAAGGATTTTTCGCGCAGAAAGAATGCTATATTATCTACAAGTATTTGGTTTAACTACATTTATTTTCTAGTAATATATTAAACTGTATTTCATTCTTCCTTTGACTAAATCATTTTATCACAAAATTGTAATGCAAATTTGAGTTTTGGTTTTGTGAAGTAAAACTAAACTTACAAGACACACAAAAGTAATGAATATGCATCTAATAAAGCTTTATATATCAAAAGGTATACTTTATGAATCCTCTTTGAGCCAAAAGCTCATAAAAACATCTACATTCTTAATGTTAAATTTGGTAATATGGCATTCAAATACGATAGCATTTTTGTAATTTGTCAGTACCAAGAATCCATTTTCATAGTAAATTGGGAAAAGGTTACTGCCTGGCAGTTAGTACCTCTTGGTATCAAATTGATAGATTTCATAAAATGAAATGAACGTCAGTTTAAAAATAAAATATGAAATGTAGCAAAACAAGAAAATTATTAATAAGCAATTTTTTTTTTCGTAAAAGTGAGTTTCAACCATTAGTAAAAATGGTACTTTTTCCGTTTTCCTTTTTCATAGAAAAAGCAGTTTTTACCAGTTGCAAAAAATTTTATTAGACAACAATTATAACTTTAAAAAAGGAGCTTACCATCACTGTAAAATGCTCTCATAAGCACTCCACATTGTTGCCAATACTGTATGATAAAAGCACTTTTCTCTTTCTCCAGCACAAAGTTTTAAAAGTATCCCTCTTAGTCCCTCGATTGGAAAAGGAAGGAAGGATTGAGTCATCGTAAATCACATCGACTGGTATCTGTATAAGCAGGGATCTTCCTGGAATAGTCAGAGACAAATATACCGGTAATCTCTAAATTGCAAATATCCTCTACATACATGTATATATTTAGCAGACTCATTCAAACAGGTTCCAGTAACCGGCTCCACTAATTCATATTCACTTTGACAATATCTTATGACTACATCCCATTGCACCGGATGATACTCCACTCGCACTCTTATTTAAACAGTTATATCATTTTAAAATAAAGATTTTCCTATTTACTCTTACCTGTTTTTGCTCTCTGGTCATTACAGTTTTTTTTTTATTTGCAACTCGTAAATTTCTGTACAGCGTTTTTGTTTTTATAAAAACTTTCATTGGTAAGTGGTCTTTGGATTCGTAAACACTGTAATTGACGTTTGGATTCATAATAACCAAAACTTGGCAACACTTAAGCGCGATAAAAATATTAATGTAAATTCAGTAATATGCGCATGCATTGTTCAAGTACATAATATTTGTCTAAATAAATAAAAATGGTCCGTGGTCATTTTGTATTTTTTCTTACAATGTTATGTAGGTTGAAACTATTTTTGCTTGCTTAAATGACCCCCCCCCCCCTCTCTATAATATCACAAGCATATTTTTTTAAACAAAAAAATACCCAAGCGTGTTTGAAAACAACGACCCCTTAAGGATTGGATACATTTATCATAGTGTAAAATTGACCCTCTGATATATTTTCTATTTTTACTATATATTTAGTATAAATTTATTATCAATTTCAAATTATTTTTATTTCATTAATTTTTATTTACCAGTTGGTATTTTTATTTACTGCAATAAAATTCATGGCTTTGGATTTAAAAGAAATAATAACTTGAGGTCCTTTGTCAGTTTTCTTGAGAAAAGTTGTGAAATCAATTAGTGTCATCCTTTCGTGTAAAATCTGTGCTTTTCTTAGTTTTCCGCAAATGGAATTTTGTTTTCTTAATTACTTAAATTCTATTTTGCCGTAAAGCCCTATTGTTAATCTTCCGTTTGATGTCGAGTATGAGTCCTTTTAGATTAACGCCCTTTTGTAACAATTAGTGGCAAGAATAACTCAACACCTGGACAGGGGACGCTATCGGGTTTTTGTCCGATCACTTTTGCGACGGACATTCACGAATAAACAGCTTTGATTTTAAGACTGTCTCCTGTCCTGTTTTTCAGGTAATGTAGATTTACTTTGTATTTTCCTTTATTTTCATTTTTATATTTTGTTTAATAGTTCATGTAGATAAACTACATGTAGTAAGTAATAATCCCATATTTACAAAATGTTAATTACTTTTCACAAATCTGTAGATAAACATATGTTGTATTTTATATTTGAAAAGTATGTGTCATGAAACAAAATTATTAAGTAGTGTTTTATAGAAGTTTTGAAAGAAGTCATTAAGTCGAATTTACTGTTTTGGCCTTTCCGGATATTTGGCATCTATTTTGTACTGGTTTTCTATTTAGTATTCAAAACATTGTTGTACAAGTAAACGCGCAGTCGATTTTACTGTTCTACTCTATTAATTGTTTGTAAAAAAGGAAAAATGCTGAAAATATCTATGTTAGTAAACATGTTCTTATGATGCATAACTATTATACATGCTGTAGGTGTAGATTGTTTGTAAAATCATATGCAAGACTAGTAGAACGTAGCTTAGTACATGTGTACTTGTACTCAATGACCGAATATGGTAAATGTACTAGGTTTTACTGTAAAGTGTGTTTATTTAGTAGATTAGGGTTTCTTTGTATGTTTGTCCATTAGGAACCCCCCCTCCTTTGTATGACCGGAAGTCAGAGTCTCTATACAGGAAGTAGACTCAATGTAAACAATAACATGTGAATTTTCTATTTTTGGTCTATTCCTTTCATACCCCTCTCATAGCCAAGTAAATGTTTTACAAGCTAATTCTCCCAATTGATATTAATTATATATTTTTATTTTTAACTCATTTATTTTTATAATGAAGATATTCAGTAGACATGTTATAATACCTGTAATGAATTGTGTGTTCATGAGATGATGTTTAATTAACACATGTTCTTATTTGTGGCATCATTTTACACTTTCATTTTAATTATACAGAGTATCATTGTTTTATATCTTTTATTATGATTGTAAATGATCACTTTTGCGACGGACATTCACGAATAAACAGCTTTGATTTTAAGACTGTCTCCTGTCCTGTTTTTCAGGTTTAGAAATCTTAGTTATCACTACAGTCCACAAAACACGGTGATACATTGATAGGTGTTGAATTACCACACGTTATATCCTTGCGAAGAGCAAATAAACTTTCCCAAACGACCATGCTTTATTCTTACATACT